TAGGTTCTAATAGTATCAAATTAATATTAAAATCAACGTAATAAATTAAGGGTAATGAAATTGAATTAAGAGTGGTCTGGTTGGGCAAGGACGCTGTTTGGTTACGGTAGGTAATGTATTATTTTCTTAAAGGCACAGTAAAGACGAACCAGTCAGAGGAATTCCGAGGTTCAAGCAGATACGGTTCTGGAGAGGCATTTGAAGAAGTGATACTATTTAGTGTTAGAAAACAGTGAAGTTACTAACAGTTAATCGGTGAACTTTATATTATTGTAGATTGTATATCAGTGTAATGGTAGGACTTGAGATATTTAAAGACACGCTAGAAGTTTTTAGTAACTATCATTAATGATTATTTAAAGATTGTTAGCGACATGGAATGGTAATTTTGAAATGTCTTTCCGAAAGTATTTATATTGTATTGCATTAAATGCATACTAGACAACGACGTTAATTATGCAACAGTGCTTATGTAACGCATTGCAAAAGGGCCTGGTGTAATACTATAGGGGTTATTTTAGTTCTATGAAAGGTGCTCTGGTTAAACAAATGGGTGACAAAAGAGAGAGAGAAATGGGGTTTAACGTCTACTCGACACAAACTAGGTCATTTCGGGACTAACATATGGTTTAATTTTATTTCAATAATTCGCTTGCGCGTAGCGGTCTTTAGCAGTGGGAGGAAACCGGAGGACCCGGAGAAAACCCATGAGGTTGGACAGGCGACCCTACTCCTTGCCACGTACAACCGGGGATTCGAAACCACGCCAGTTGACTCAATAACCATTCGACCATCCAACCCCCCAAATGGGTGACAACGAGAAATGGTCCAAGTAAGTATTTCGCGAGATTCAACTTTCTTAAACTAACCCACAGACAGTTCCTGCCATCATCAATTGCTTAAAGTATGCTACTATCGTCCAGCCATCTCGTGTACAGATTAGTCCAATTAAATAGAATAATGTTGACGTGCAGCGATGCCCATACGAAACACTTACCCAAAAATGGCAATTGCCCCGCCCTAATAGCTGACGTATCCATACTTTGTATATAAGAAAGAGCGTGGTTAAATTTCCCTTCAGACATCAGGCCGGACTACCTATATCATGCAGGGTTCTTAGAAGGCATACGCCCAGCCTCTTCGGCTTGGAGGTCGGGATAGAGACAATGTGGTGTTTCAGCCGTTGGGACTGAGTACTAGGCTTGTTCAACGCAGACTGTAGATATTATAATAACTCCTAATGTACTATCATAGATGTTGTAGTTTCCTGTATTTGATATATAAACATAGTTATAAAAACACAGTGTCCCAGAGTTAATTGATCATAATATTACACAACGTGGAAGTCAGAGTTAATTCACCTATTTAAATACACCTTAGTGTCACATCTATGTTTTTGGTGCCGTGACGACGGATAGTCACGACGTAAACCTACCTGTAGTGTCACACGTTAAGTTTTAATTTTCAGTCATTACACAAATGAAAGTTATAAACTATTTTAGGACATGTCGACGTTGTTGAGAATCAAAGAGTAGAGGGGAAATGTTTGTATGCTTTGTTGATGTGACATCTTCATTATTTAATTATTGATTATTGTATAAAGAGTTTAACTGAGCACACATCCTATAGATTGACTCCTATAGAATTAGTTTTTTTATTATCTACGCTGTTGGTGCTAACATGTAGATGTTATTAATTGTTTCAAATCGGCATGTCGTTTATACATATGTTGGGGGGGGGGGGTTGTTATATACACTGTATATATATATTACCTTTTCTCGACCTCTTGGCACACAAGATAAGGCAACTTACTTATAGGCTTGCAGCGAAAATTTCTAGTTTGCTTAGAAACACATTTCCGCTACAAGGTCCTTGAACTTAAACAAACCAAGCATTTTTGGAAAGCTTATAATACCAGGAACACAACTTCCAAGCAAAATGTTTGCAATAATCACAATTGTCGAGTACATGCTATAGTTATACTAATAATTCTGAAGTTGGCCTAAATTAAATATTGACGAAAACAGCGTATTAGTAAAATTTTGATTTAAACAAAAGTAGGCTACCCAAGCACCTGAAATACTGTTATCATTTGCAGACATTCTTCGATCCCTGCATTGGCCGAGAAAGTTCATCCAGATTTTCCGGCGTGGTTCTCCCTTGTCAGTGATGCAGGACGGAGGGGCTGACAAGGAAAGCTGTCTAGTCGTTCGGATGGGACGAAAAACCGAGGTCCCGTGTACACATTGGCGTGCACGTAAAAGATCCCTTGGCAGTTGGAATTCGATTTAAGAGTAGGCCGTAGTGCCGCTGTCCGGGCAAAATTTCCCTCATAGCACACTGTATGGCGTATGCCCGTCTTCATTAGCCCAGGTTAGGAGCAGAACTGTAGGACGTTAAACCCCATTTCATTTCATTTCATTTTTGCAGACATTCGACAGAAAGGGGGGTAACTCTTTTTTTTACCGTTCATGGATTTCCAAAATTCCTTGTTCAGCATCGGCATTAAGTATTATTATGCATATATTTGTCCAGTTCAGCATCACATGAAATCACCATCGTCTGCAGTGCTTTCATGGTGAGGGATTAAAAAAAACGCAAAAACTTCAATGCTGAGTAATTTTACTAGCCAGAAATCGCTTAGAAAGCGTCTCCGACGATCTAAACCCCCGGGAGCTAGGACGTCCCCCCCCCCCCCCCCAATCAAGAATTGTTTCCGCCGGCCCTGGGCCAACATGGGGACTAAACCCTAGATCTCCTGATTACTGAGCCAGCGCCTTACTCACCGAGCCCAACGTCCTGCAGACCTGCACCACTGACAGGGGGAAACCACGCCGGACCAGGATCAAACCCTGGACCCCCCCCCCCCCGTAAGTCAGTCAGCCCCTTACTAATCATGGAATACATGAATACAAGCTGTACATACAGTATTATTTAGTTATTTAGTTTATTATTTAGTTTAGTTATAAATGCTTTGTTTCAGTTTAAATTTTGTTCGAACTTAAGCATCAAGTCCTATCTGAATTTTTCTTTTTACAGATATTATAGTAGATATAATTTTTGGGGAGAACTTGTATAGGCTCTTGTCTGTTGTTAAATCCTATTCAGTTACATGTATATTAATGGGGTCGCTTGTTCGATCCCTGCATTTCCCGAGAAAGTTGATCGGGATTTTCCGACGTGGTTTTCCCTTGTCAGTGGTGCAGGACGAAGGGCCTGACTAGGACAGCTGTCTAGTCGTTCAGATGGGACGAAAAAACCGAGGTCCCTCATAGCACACTTATATTAAAAGAGTGTAGGTTTGTGTCATGTGACTTGGCTGGCGAGGTTTCTAGTAACGGGTGCGAAGCCGGAGGAGAATTCATTGTATATTATAAATATCGCGACCTAATTAAATTCTCGGATTATCTACTGTCAACGTCTTTATCCGTGGTTTTTATCTCAGAAAAGGCTGAGAAATCAGCCAATCTTCGCTTGCAACCTTTGACGTCACTCGAGCAGACATCTCTAATCGTTGGGTTGCCGGTTAGGGAAACCCTTACATTTTGTCCTGTGTACACTCCAATATTTTTCTAATAAGATTGGATGTTTCTACTTTCCATATAATACAAAATGGCTATACTTTTATTGGAAATAACCATCCGATAAATACTTCCGTGGGAAAGTATCTTTAAGTATGGGCAAAAATAATCATGCAAATTACCGATTCGTGGAGGATAAATCAGATCGGGAACCGCAATGGCTCAGTGAGTAAGATGCTGGTTTTCCACTGACAGTGGTGGGGGATAAAGGGTCTGATAAGGACAGTGTCTATTCGGCAGGCACGAGGTATTAAATGTGGTTTTTTTTAATAACTAGGGTCGGTGCAACGATATGCCAAGGCTGAACACTATTGCATTGTTTCAAGTGGACATGGCTATCAGATCCGTCCGTCCGAAGGTCAAAGGCCATCACAATTGTTTACAGCAGACAAGGTAAATTGATATCGGCCAAGGACTGAACAGCAATGCATGACAAGCAAGATCTCTCACGCTAGCAGCTTCCCGTACTGCTGTGTTACAACTGCTATGGTGTCCGGGTGCCGACATTGTTGGTCGCCGACTACGCTCTACCGAAATGTATGCCAGATGGCTTTACCTAATTAAAATCGATGCATTATGTAATATTTAGTTGAAGAGCTGGTCGTTCTTGCTATAACAGTTCAAAAATAGATAATGAATACTGAAAATTTCATTCAAATTACTTTATTGGGGGCAAAGTTATGACTGACGATGTACCGTGGATCGTCTATTACAATAGAAACGGTACATGACAACCGTGACTAAGTCTTGATTATCTAGCATTGCAGGTGTTCAAATCCATTAAATCTTGACCATTCTATGTTCTAGATAGTTGATTATTGGCTTGTCAAATAATTATGTCTAAATATTAATTCACATGACATCTGAAGCCAAAAGAAAGACCTCTAATAGGCAGAATTAGCTCTTACATAACCCATCTTTAAAAGTCCCAATGCACTTTTTAAGCAGTACGAATCACTTGCAAACTACATCATCGTTAAAGGTGAATCTCTAATAGGAATACCAGTCCAATTATAATTCCCTTTTATTCAATAGTGATGAGCAATTTGCAGAATCCACATAATAGTCCCTTACCAGAATTTAATCCACATATTAGTCCCTTACCAGAATTTAGCACAGAGACTATGAAAATGAGGACCCACTGCATTTGACAAATCAAATTAATATTAATAGTGATTCGAAATATTTGGAAAGACTGTATTTGTACTTCAATATGCCCCTACCACTGATATAACTTAAGTATTTCTTAAAGAACATCAGATATTTCATTTGATCATCTATGCATGGTCACCATAGATAAGTGCATGCCTTTTCGTAACAAATTGCATACATATTGTACCACACACCTTCCAAGCCTGGGGGGGGGGTTTTATCAGGAGAAAAATCTTCTCAAGAAATGATGTAAAACTGACAACAAAATTAGTAATAAATGGCTTTACTTACATTATATGACCAAAAAATAAAGATGTTACAAACATAATACACGAAATGAAAACAATAGTAAAAGCCCAAGATTATCTGTACATATAATGAAGGATTTAAAGAGTAGCACGAAGGGCTTCCATCTTTGATTCAAGGTCTTCTCTTTTAGTATTATTGGCTGAATCAGCATCGAGATATTGCTGTTTACTTAGTTTGTTGGAAATTAGCTTTTCAGCTTGACTAATGGCGGAATTAATAAGATCATGATATTGACCATCAAGTTTCTGTAATTCTGCCACCTGCAACAAAATAAAGATAACAGAATAAAATTATATTAAACCAGCAATTAAGCAATTTTTAAGAGCATTCCTTCACAGTAATTTCATTCTTCACCTAAAAGTTATAGAGATCCACTGTACCATCAATTTTCAAAAAATTTATCAGATCTCAATAGATGCACAATCTATACATAGGAAACTAATAACTAGAAGTACAACTTGAAGATTTGAGAAGTTTTAATTGTCATAGTATATTTTGAGTTTTATTATATTGTAAATAAAGTTGGCTTGGACTATTCATATGTCCAGTTATCAAGAGACGACACGTTTTCATAAAGCAATTAAACAAAATAATGAAATTGTGAAAATGAATTATTTTTTACCCTTTCTGAAGCTTCAGAGCCCTCCGTCTTGAGTTGGGCATGGATTGTATTAATTTGTTTGGTCAAAGCAGTATAATCATTATTAATCTTCTTTCGACTATTACCAAATGTTGTTGTATCTTTACTGCTCTTATATTTATTGATAGCATCATCATAACTCTGATACAGAGCACTACGTTTATCTTGAGCATCCTGTACTTCATTAATAAGACTGGATACTCTAAGTCGACTTTCTTTAGCTTCATCCTGAAAAGAAAATATTTGTTACTGGAGCCCTATGATTATCAGATATATTTAAGTCAATAAAACAGGTTACACAAAGCAAGGCTAATTACTAACACTGTCAATAATTATTGAAAATAATGTGCTTTTTTGGCTTAAAACTCTAACCTTGATTACAGTTGCAATAATGCTTTCATTAATATTAATGTGTGATCAAAAATTAGCAAAGACAATACTTTTTTTATACATGTTATATATTGACCTCAAGTTTACTAAATGTCATTGTTCTTGATAATGATAAGAGGATACTTGTCGAAACGTTGTGCTTTTAGAATAAAACTAGTGATTGTATCCCATAAAAACTGTGTTCTGTTAGATACATGTAGTTTATATTAAATGTGTCACTTTTAATCTTATACGACTATTAACACAATAATATATAAATATAAATTACCTTAGTTATAGAGAAGTCAAGACGTACATAGATAATAACCAATAAAAATAAGAGATAAAATGCTCCAACAACTAACAATGGTTCTTGTAAAAGTAACATCTTTTGGAAAGAATATGTTACCTAAAAGAGAAATAGACAAAGAATATTAAAGAATGTAATAGGAAACTAACTGAAAGGTCGATTTACCAGATAAGTAAATGATAAATATATGGTCAGCAAACATGTTAATTCCATAAATATTGAAGCATGACAGTATGTACTAGTCTTAAAACTGCCTGTAATTAGTTTCAATATGTGACTCACTCCCTATACATAGACATCTTTTGAAGAGTTACTGAACAAGAATACATTAAACTTACAGTGAAGTCTTGGATATGTTGCTCTACCAAATTAGTTTTATACAGCACAATAACAGGACGACCAATCGTATCAAGATAAGTATAATGTAGTTCATTTGAACCTCGTTTAACTGGATATGGTGGATCTACTACAATATTTCTGCAAAAGATATATAATAAAATATAATAAACATAGTTTGCCAGGCAAGGTAACAAACAACCACCAGCAGCGCCATGGTCCACACTGTAATATGACTTTTCATATTTATGCTTAGCCTAATACAAGCTATACCAAAAAACATTGCTGAAAATTGTGCAAGAAATTAATTCTGTAGATTGTGTATGAGTACAGGTATCAAGGCAATAACACTGAACTATTTTTGTAAAACCATTCAAAATCCATAGACCATTTTACCGGAATATTAACTGAACTCCTTTAAAAATTTGAAAAAAATCTGTAGAAGATGTACAACAAATGTTTACCCCAATACTAACTATTCCTAATTAATATTAATCAAAATCAGTTAAAACATATCTATCAAGTTGGTAAGGACAGACAGACCACAACAATATTAGCATTAAACATGAATAGATTAACGATCCTCTAATTCTATTCTGTTTTAAGATTAACAAATTAATGTTAACATATCCTGTAAGATTACCACACTGTGGTTATACTGATCTTTACATTTGACCAGGTAACACCGACAAATACTTACTTAGCTGATTCTGGAAGGATAACTCTAACAGTGAGTTCATCTACTACCATATCATCATAGATATGATCTACAAATCTCATCTTTAAACCATAATCATTACCTAGTAAAAATTACAGATATAACATAACATTTAAAGATTTACAGAAAAATTTCTGTTCATATTTAGACTAGCAATTAATTAGGTCTTTTTTATAAACTACGTTTTGCATAAATATTCAAAATCAATAGGGATGAATACTATTTGTGAAAATTTTATGAAGATAATTCAAGATCTATTCTATTATCAATTTCTAGTACCTGCTCACAGATTTATAAAATACCTGGTTATTTTTGACCAAAACAAGGAGGTAATAAATTTGAAAAAAGGAAATGACTACTTTGTAGTTTTAGTATGTCCATTACTATCTGCAATGATTTCATGTTGCACAGTACCTAGATTTGAAAATAAAATTCAATAAGAATCAGTCTGATTAAAATACAGATCTAATTTTGTTTCGTTTTTTTATACTTTTGATGGCCTCTACTACATGAAGATCTGACAAGTTGAAATGGGAGGTCACGTCAGGGGTCACAAGCGGCTTTTGACTGACATCAGACATCTGATTAGCATTGATGTTTCTAGTAGGAAACCCACAGTTCCGTGCATCACACGCCAAGAACTCGCTGCAACAGACAATTTCATGGGCTACACTCTCACGAGGGTTATATAACAACTCTTCCAGATCCTAGTGTAGTAAAGACAAGTAAAACAAAATTTTGAAAAATAAAAAACAAAACGAAATAGGATCCGTTTTAATCATATTGAATAAGAACATACCTCGGTTGAAAAGATATTCGTAGCTAGGTATGTTGTATCCAATGTAATATTGAGTCTTCCATCCTCCAAATAATGGAAAACGGGGACGGATTTCAAGTTCAACAGAATCTTCAAGTTCTCTCATATTACTAGTAGAGACATTACCAATTTCATCTCGGTAATATACATCCCGTGCTGCAGCTGGAAACTGGGTCTAAAAAAACCCATCTATTTTATGAAATATCTATTCTAATGTAAATGGTAATTCAAACATTAATAGATGTATAAATAACTGGTTAGTGTCATCAGAACCAATGACTCAATTTATGACTTAGACCTTCCGGCACTCTCGTTTAATGCCATTGACTAAACATATAGATTTGTATAATTTTCTTTTAAAAAAAACATTCACTTGTAAAACAGTAGGCATAAAGATATAGTTCAAAGGGAACTTCAATATGGAACACTTTTGTATGACCCCTCAAAACGAAAAGTAAAAAAACACATCCTGATAATCTCATTTTAGACATCAATGACTGACTTACCCTGAAGGATTTAATAGATGAAACGCCATCGTTGTTTCTTTGGTAATCAAATCTTGAGAAAGGACCCTTCAATGTTGCACCACTGTGACGCATATCAATATGTTCTTCAACAGCAATATTACCCCAATGCGAGATCTCAATTATTCTTTCCATACTAGTAATGGTTAAAAATGGACTGTTATTTTCTTCATGGACCTTCAATTCAGCCTAGATATCAAAAAAAAAAAAAATCCCTTTTCAATTAGATTTAACAGAAAACTTGAACTTAATTCATGTAGATATTCAAACAAAATTCATCAATATGAAAATCACTGATTAAATCATACTTTTAAAAGATAACCTTTAAATATTTATATCAATAATAAAACATTTCTATCCTCTTACCTCAACAAATGGTTCTCTTTCTTCAAAAGGACCATATTTAATAACGTTATCACTAACGGACACTGGTTTCGTTCGTGTATAGGATTCGATGCTAGATGATGTTGTAGTCACACTTGTTGTCTGTGTCAGTGTTTTATATGGAGAATAAAAATACAGATTACTATTGAAGATAACCAGTTGTTTTTCTGACTGTAGAATTTCAGCTGGGTAAGCTTTTAATACATGAGCATAAATAGTTTCTACTTCTACTGTTGTGCTTTTACCTGCAGCTAGTGGTGATGCCAAGTTAATACGGAAGAATACCTTGTCTCTGTAAAAATCAAATAATAATGGTATGGTACAAGTAACAGTATGACATATTAGAATAATGATTCAGAACTTGCATTCAAATTAGCACTCTGACATAACAGGTTGTTGAATCCTCTAATAAACTTGATTAGCCATTCAAATAAAGAAATACTATATATGTCTCAGGGTTAATAATGACAAGCTACAATGTAGATTAATAAGATTATTCATTATATTTCACATCGTAGAAATCTATAAACAGACACCTCATACAAACATGGAATAAATTATAATGCAGTGTACATGCTATTCACACATACATGACATACCAGTATGCGAAATGAAATCAAATGGGGTTAAACATCATACTTTTCTGCATGACCGAAATGTAGAGAGTTTAATTAATTATGTTAAATCTGACTCAAAAAGATGACATAATGGAAAATAATCAAACTTAAGTTAGTCTTACTTTTGACTCTCAACTCTCGTAGATTCTACACTCAATTTACTTGTGTCATCTCCAGATTTTGACTAAAATGCAAAAAAATATTTGATTAAAATCAAAATAAGTATTTGAAAATCTAAAACTTGTTCAAAAAATGTACTTACATGGCTTTTTATAAACTTGAAATACATGCGACTATCACTCAGTCACTAGGCCTACATGTATAGGCTACATGACTAGATTAGGCTAGTACTTAAGTAGGATTTACCCTGAACATCCCTAAAACAATTTCAAGTTTAAGACCACACAGAAAGTGCTACCAATAGTACCATGTGTACCAATCTGATTTAAACACAGATCCAATTTCGTTTCGTTTTTATAGTTTAAAATTTCAATTTTACTTGTCTTTACTACACTTGGATCTGGAAGCATTGTTATTTAACTCGGTTCTGCTTGAAATGTGGGGTCAGCCAATCAAATGGTCTGTCGAATCAAGCGTTTGACCTTTTTTGTGCGGAACTGTGGGTAGACATTAGCGGCAATAGAAATCAAAACAAAGCAAAAGTAGATAAAAAAAAATACATGCTGGTCGCTAATTGGTTAATCGAATGACTGACGTAATTGGGTCAAATGTCGCTTGCTTGGGACCTGACGTCATAGAACGTGAACTCCCACTATAACTTGTTAGATCTACATGTAGTGTAGGCCATCGAAAGTATAAAAAACGAAATATATAGATCTATATGTTAATTAGATTGCATGTGTACAAAAAAAATGCTTATGTTTTCAGGTTTTTGTCATGTCTGTCACTACTGCCATGGTCTATGGACATGGTGTACTGGATAAACTATTTACTATAGTCTATGTTAGGGCCTAGCCTATTCTTTGGTCGAATGAATACGTAAATCTCACAAACAACCGCTTCACAATTTCATGTGTAAACACATACTATAGTGGTACTGCCACTACTGGTAGAACCGATCTGTACTTTGAAATGATGCCTACCAGTATCAGTATCACGGTCATTTGGGAAGTACTAATGAAGGTAGGCCGATACCGGCATAAATTGTTCACAATTGATAAGCACATTAGAAGAAAAGTACGGCATTTTTAATAACATACTTACCACAGCACCTATAAATGACAATTTACTTTGTAAAGACGGGTCAATGACAAATAAAAATGACTTGATAGTAGATGATCCCTTGTTTTCTACGGTAACTGTTGTGTATATTTTTACTATATGAGATGATACATCTATCTTCCTATCAACCTTAGTATTTACAATACTACTGCTAATGGTGTCTTGATTAGCAGTGCTAACTGTAGCTAAGATGATGGATAAAATGCACAATTGTAAATATTTTGCCATAATTTATAATAAATATCGATGATACTGGATGAAAAACAGATAATAATAACAACTTCAATGGCCGCTCACAGCGGACGACACATTGCCTCGTTTTGGAAACGATGTGCTGGCAAATATCGCCCAATCGTATTTTGCCACCAGGAAGAAAATAAAAGGAAACGAAATATGAAAATCAAACAGTAAATTCTTTATTGCAAAAGAAGAACAAAATTAGCAATCTGCAAAATTAGGTGGACTTGAACACTAGATATTTGAAAGATCATAAAATGTAGACCATCGAAATAAAATAAAATAGGCCTAATAAAACACCATTTTTATAAAAGCAACGTTTTGAAGCTACAATTATTAAAGCTTAATAATAATTAGGACTTTCGGCTAATTTAAAACCAAAATCTATTAACCAAACCTGCTGAATATCTCCTGTTATGTACATAATAAGAACTTTAAAATAGCCATGACCGCACTCCGACTTAGTTCCCACTCACTTCAAATTGAAATGGGCAGATACAAAAATAAGAATATGTAGGCCTATGCCAACAATGCTCGATGCACAAAAGTGGAAGATGAGGCTCATTTTTTACTAGAATGTCCACTGTATGAAGATTTACGTACCGTTCACAACATTTACAGATAATTATCTGCCCTATTCCCTAGAAAACCTATTTAACCCACCCGAAACAGTTGCAAACTCAATTAGTGCGTTTGTATTTCATGTAATGAATCTTAAGAACATAAATCATAAAATGTGTACAGCTATTATATGCAGCGTATCTCTACATTTTTGTATCCAAATGATTCTCTAGATTTCCATAAATTAATATATTTCATTCCATATTCTATTACTTGTAACTTGATTCATATCATTATTATAGCATCCCTATATTATATTTCCACGTAAATACCTGTAGGCCTACTAATTTTAAGTCTTCTCGTTAGGCCTATTTATGTAGGCCTATTTATAATAGCCTACTTATAGGCTACCTATGCATAACAATTGTATTGAATGTTGTACGTGCCATTATCAAACTCGTTTGAGGTAAATGTGTACATTAAATACATGTACTGTTGTGCTGTTAATAAATCTTATAAGCTAGATTAAAATTACCGCTTTCTTATTTGTAAATATAATTTGTCATATTGATATGTAGGATGGTGTCCTAAATGGATGTTTTGATACAATAAAATCTTATCTTATCTTAATTCTTTTTTAAAATATGTTTATTATCATTAGAACACAATTTATATGGAAACAATCACTGAGTGCACGTTGTATCATAAGGTCTGTTTGTAACTCACTACACACTGTCCACCATTGTATTGTAAACATAGGATTTAACTATCTTATATGTTTGGAGAGAACTTATATAGGCCTTTGCCTGTTGTTCAATCCAATTCAGTTTATTGAATGAAATATAAGGTCTGTCATTGAGTCAACTGGCGTGGTTTCGATTTCCCAGTTGTAGGCCTGTCCAACCTCGTGGGTTTATCCAGGTCCTCCGGTCCCCCCCCCCCCCCACTGCCAAAGACCCCTATGGGCAAGCGAACTGTTGAAATAAAATTTAACCATATGTTAGTCCCGAAATGACCTAGTTTGTGTCGAGTGGACGTTACCCCCGCCCCCCCCCCCCCCCACCTCTCCCTCTCTCTCTCAAACTTACAATATCCCAATTTTCTCATTTACATATTCTTCTTTTGAGTTCTCGTAATACATTACACTTGGGTTTAAACGTGGGTTTACGTTTTTATTTTATTTTTTTTATTTTTTTAAAATTTTTTTGCGGGTTTGAGGGATTTTAGGTTAAAGTAGCTAAGTCTCTAACTCAATATCATCCAAATTCTTCGACATTGAAAACTCGAATTATTTGTCAATTTTAATCAACATTGCTGTTGTGATCTTCTTACCGGGAAAAGATAGGCTTCTGATATCTAATATTAAAGACAAAATATTATACATTTTACCTTTGGTACACGAATGGTGTACCATCATGCGTTTCAGTGCCATTGGTAACGAGGGACGCGAAGAACGGGGCTAGACATATTCCACAAGTCATGTCAAACGGTGACGCCATATTCATATCTAGAGAGCATGTACAATAAATACTATGCGTGTAGACTGGAATAACCAGACGCTAGACATTGCCATTTGATTGAGACTTCTGGCGTATTTCGCTGAACATGACTGATTTGAAATGTAAATCGGTTAATACACATGCATATTACATTATTATATGCGTTGCGACCCATTTGTGCCAATTTCTAGGTCCCAAATATTAGCGATTCAGCTCCATTAAAAAGACCTTGGGCGTGGGCCGATCATTTGGAAAATTATTTCTCATCGCTCTGTTCGACTGATAGACATATCAACATAAATTGCACATGTCAAGTTTCAAAGAATTTTAATGCTTTAAGACCTTTTGTCGATCTTTTATGGCAAGAATTATGCAATTAAATTACTACTGATTTGTCAGTCCACCCCTGTCCTGTTGACTATATTCACCCCTGTGTATGGTTAACATGTCGCTAAATTAAAAGGGGGGTTGGATGGCTGAATAGTTAGCGTGCGCGCGCTGTATCAAAAAGTCTGTCATTGAGTCGACTGGCGTGGTTTCGAATCCCCGGTTGTACGTGACAAGGAGTAGGGTCGCTTGTCCTACCTCGTGGGTTTTCTCCTGGTCCTCCGGTTTCCTCCCACTGCTAAAGACCCCTACGCGCAAGCGAATTATGTAAATAAAATTAAACCATATGTTAGTCCCGAAATGACCTAGTTTGTGTCGAGTGGACGTTAAACCCCATTTCCCTCTCTCTCGCTAAATTAAAAACCTGTATAACATAGAATCAATTGTGTCATGTCTATATTATTGGGAAATCGAGAATTATGACATCAGTTACACAGAGATCATTGCTACGATAGCTGAGTAATACAGGTTTCCCGTATCGGAAGTGACGAACGCCAAAGGAAAACACGAGTCGCCGCTCGATACTGACTGATGCGACGAGTGATAACAGATAATCGGCCGAATTTCTACTCACTAATAATTCCTTCGATGACCAGAATTAGTATATGGGACTGTAAGAGGATATCTGACAATTCGATAAAGTAATTGAATGTCATTAGATAAGAGAACACGAGAAAAATAGAAATAGTCCGTACATTCCCTTGTTTATATTCATTCTATACCTTATAAAAACATGGTAATGCACGGACTTTTTCTGTTTTTCTTTCGTGTTCTCTTATCTAGTGGCAGTCAATTCTTTTTATGAATTGTCAGATATCCTCTCACAGTCTCATACAACAACTGTTGGTCTTCAAAGGAAATGAAATGAAATGGGGTTTAACGTCCTACTGTTCTGCTCCTAACCTGGGCTAATGAAGACGGGCATACGTCCATACAGTGTGCTATGAGGGAAATTTTGCCCGGGCAGCGGCGCTATCGCCTACTATTATATCGAATTCCAACTGCCAAGGGATCTTTTACGTGCATTCCAATGTATACATTGGTTTTTCGTCTCATCCGAAGGACTAGACAGCTGTCATTGTCAGGCCCTCCATCCTGCATCACTGACAAGGGGGAACCACGCCGGAAATTCTGGATGAACTTTCTCAGCCAATGCAGGGATCGAACACCCGACCTCTAGCCCAGGCTAGCGAGCCAGCGCCTTACCCACTTAGCCACGTGGTCCCTGGTCTTCAAAGGAATTATTAGTGAGCAGAAATTCGGCCGTGTATCTGTTATCACTCGTCGCTTCAGTCAGTTATATAGAGCCGTGACTCGTGTTTTCCTTTGGCGTTCGTCACTTCCGATACGGGAAACCTGTATTACTCAGCTATCGTAGCAATGATCTCTGTGTTAAAAGTATATTTGGAATGTGTTTAACCAGCTCTAACACATATGTGATAATGACTGGCACCAATATTGTCCTTTAAGAGTTCTTTCATATGCAAAAAAAATGTGTATACAGGCGGACCACAGTTTTTGTCCCACCACAGCGACATTCAGTTGATTTTTTTTTGTGAAAAGATTATATAGCACGTGATGGACGAGTATTTAACCAGGAAGGCGCGTTTTCCGACTACCCTTCTTGAATTTGCAATTTAATGTCAAGGGCAGGCAATGTGCACACGAATGGACCACAGTTTTTTGGGGCTTTTTTGTAGCATCTGCACGACTTTAGACACAATCTTCTTGGATAAAGACTTTAACCCGGGAAAGTGAAAACCGCTCTTGAAAACTTCTGCAGATTAAAATAATCTGTTACATTTTTGTATGTTTTTTTTAATGAATTAACAATCTGTGAAACTGACAATAGAAAATATTAAGAAAATATGGATTAATATGTATTTTGCTTTTATTTGTAAAAATTGTTTTGGAAATTAAAAATATTTTTACTATGGACTGTATTTGTAGCGATTTTAATAGTCCATAGTTAAAATATTAAAATTTACTGGTTCATGTGTACCTTGAAATTGGAGATTGTATACCTAGAGTGGTAATATCATACTTCAGCCACAAAGCGCCACTGGACATTTTGTTAATATATAGGATGTGAAATATTACACTTTTCAATTATTTTTATATTTCACTTTATCAATCGGTATTTTAACAAGATAATATTCCATTTTACCTAAACCCTATTTTGCATTTTTTGTTAGTTATAATCTACACTCTCCACATAACCTACAAAGTTTATGAGTCGACTCATATATACGATGTTAAAATATCGAAGTTAAAATATCAAATAATTGTCGTTTAGTTTTCATTTATTGTTCTTGGCTGAGTTGTGTCCAGGTGCTGGTTGTTCGAAGCTCCGTTAACTTTAACGGGGAGAAGTCCTGTTGATGAAAGCCCCGTTAACTTGCGTTATATTTAACGAAGGTGTCGAGCTCCGTTATCTGTTTAACGATGAAATTAGCCGTTTGTCAGTCGAAGTAAACCCTTACAAAAAGTAAACGTATACATGTATAGAAAAGCATCTAAAACAAATTGCACCACAAAAGTTAGCTTTTGATTATCAGTATTCTGTAGAATAACAGTGTAGTATTCTATAAAATTATATAAAACATTCTTGAGGGTTTGTGATGGGGGGGGGGGGTGAATATCCCATTTTCTAGAGGACGAAATTCTATAGTATTCCACAGAATTTGGGGTGTCTGTAAGAAATAACGGCTAAAATACTGTACAGTTTCTGTAGATAACAAACCTCATCTCTCAGCCCTCCGTGTTTCGAGATAAGATATGGAGCTATATAGTTCCACGTAGCAAAGCCCAACGCAAATCACACCGGGCCACAGTAAGCAAAATTGACAATAGGCCTACTGTCCATCAAAATGACGATTGATTATTGTTATTTATAATATTCTGCCACATCAAACTACAATTAAGCATGTAATTCTACCTGAAACGGATATAAATCATCATATTTAAAATCGAGGCGTTAAGCCGTTACCAGGAACGCCATTTTTAAACGAGAGATGTATGACGATGTATGTCGGATAAAAACAACGCTTCATTAATTTAAACGTGATTATTTGGAGTTCGGCGATAGTTGTGCCACTACATTGGCCTCTTTGTAAATTTAATTAGCCACAATAGTATAAGTAGTGCAAATTCTGTAATTTTGCCTACTCCCTACAGATTTATAGTGATATGTTTTCTGTCTTTAATCAAGATTTGTGAACAAACTGCACAGGTTGTCCCACTTTCATTGGTTTCTAGTTAATAAACTTCTACATGTACATTGAATTTAAAAATTTAAAATTCAGCCAATGACCTAACAGTCTTCCCTTGGATTAACTTTAATCAGTACCGTTAGCTAACGCATAATCAAAAATTGACTATTTCCAGCAACAGAAATTTGACGGACAGTTAACAAACCACACGTTAGCAAGATAACGATCCGTTAAACGGATCTTTAAAATAAATAACTGAGTTTTGGAAACCAGGCCCCCGAACATCATCTCTATTCAAGACATTTATGTACCAAATTAGAAGACAGGGTCAACATAAATAAAACTCGTTATTTTAACCCGAATAGACAATATATCTGTGAAGAGAATTAGGATTCAAAGCGTCATTATTTATCTAGTGTGATCTCGTACCGCCCAATATTATTATTCTAATAAGGATGGTGAACAACATTCTATCCACATTTTGTTAAAATCCTGGCTGCAATAAAAAACCAAGCATTTTGTTCAGCTGTGATATAGACCTACTGCGCAATTTAGTCTCTTTCAATCAATTTCTCCTAACAAGAAAGATTTATCACTCAATTCCACAAGTCGATTATTGCGAAAACATCAGCAAACGTTCTGGTAAACCTATCAGCATGTCTTCACGAGAAGATGCTGCAGCTCTTTTGAGAATCGAGCGACGTCATCCCTTTGCGCCAATCACTAGTACGAGGTTGAAAAAAGGGAATGGTTACCTCACTATCCTACAGAAATGTTTATAATCGCTGGATATGGCGCTAAGGTATCTATCTTACGACCTCCGCCCCATGACAACAAGGCTGCTCGGTTGAACATAGGGTCAAGAGGAAAAATTCACTGGTCGGATGAGAGTCGCTTTCTCTTGTTTATTACAGATGGTAGAGCATGGATACGGCGACGTAGGAACATGGCATACATACATGTATGCCCAGAGCAACACCCCCGGCGACGGTTCTATCATGGTATGGGGCAAACTGCACGCAGCGACCCATCTACGTCATACGTCATGTTCTCAGGCGGAGCTAGCTGTAGACAGGCAGCCTAAGTTTGGGATGGGTATGGGGCTGCCTTTCGTATGACTGTAGTTTCCACTTGTAACAGTTAGCGGCAATCTCAATGGCCAACAGTACCAAAGAGAACTCCTGGACAGGTTTGTAGTAACTCACATTGACAATCATCTGTTTCTCACAAGGTCAATCTTTATGGACGATAACGTGCACGTGCCGTGACCTGAATCCCATTGAGCTGATCTAGCTAGGATCAGAGGGACCCCCACCAGTGCAAAATCTTGACCATTTGGATCAGGCATTAGGCAGGAATGGAATACTAACGCAGACTGGGATCCAACGTCTCATTCAATCAATGAGGAGGAAGTTACACCAGATATTGAGAGTTTGTGTCTTCATTTCTGGTTCAACGTTTCCTTGAGGCAGTCAAGGAAGATCGAATACCTGCCAAAACATAAAAAAGCTAATATATCTGATCAAACACTTGCACTATATTCAAACAGAGATGTACATGCATTTGCCAATCTTACTTTCTTAATGTGATGCAGAGATACCTGTGTAGTATTAGTGGTATGTCTGGGCATCAATAACTATGCATTGTTTTTACATGTATTTAATATACACACTATATTTTTAAACCCTGCATTTTAGTGTGGGCGTATTATGTTGTCACCCATGTCAGTCCACCTGTCAATGTTTGGATTGTGAATGCTATAGAGGCTACAATGTTTTAACGATTTTTTTCTTTAAAGTGAACTCACAGAAAGAGATGGTTTGAAGGTTTAATAAACTCCCAAGCAAAACATGTAAACTACTAACTTTAACATGATCTTTTTTGGAAACCCTTTACCACTTCAATGAATTGGTGCCCTTATACATTTTCTAACCTTTTAAAGAAATGAAAAGTGTTTAAATACAATAAATGTATTGCAAAAACTACCGATGTGAACTATCAAAATAACTGGGACCAGTCACTACATGTGACATAAAAATTGTTTCTTTTTTTAAATCAAAATACACATTTAAATATACATTGTCCCAAAAGTATTTATCAAGTGGTTATTTCCAATAAAAGTATGGCAAATTTGGTATACATGTATATGGAAAGTATAGACACCCAATCTTACTAGAAAAATACTGGATTACCCAAAAAATACCCATGGGACAAGCACTGGGCAAATAGTCATACAGTTTGGGGAACATTGAGGGGTGTCAACGTACAAAAGACTCTGTAGTTAAACGGCGAAAAAAGAATTTACTTTAGGCCTCAATATGTATGAGATAAATGGACAGTAAGTACTGAAAAATATGTTCTGAAAAATGGACCCTCCCACAATGAATTGAGCTGACAGACATGGCGTCTAACAACAGTTTATTTATAGATTGTGGTATCTCCCCACGAAAAAACATTTTTGAGAGGGATTTGAAGCAAATTGTTGATAAATTAATTAGTTTGAATAGGTTTTTAGTTCAAATATATCATCAAATCACTTAGTTTGTATGCGGGAAAGTATCTTTAAATAAGAAAATTGCAAATAATTTCATGTTAATTTCTGCTCAGATCCGGTAATATCAGAATTAGTTAACAATCAATTTCTTATATTGAAACTGTGGTAAAAAGTATGAGATTCATAGAAGTTTAAAGGCACTGACCACTGGTGGCAAAATAAACATATGCCATTTGGAATGACCAATGCCCCTATACAGTTTTCATGGTTAGCTGACAAAAGCAAGTTTATAAAGATAGAATGGTACAATTAAGGATCAACAATATCTGAAATAATGATGAAAGAAAATAATGTATATTTAATATATTTTTTATAGTTTTTCCACATCATTTATGCCATTGTCATATAAAATAAATAATATCACAGTTTAAAAATGCAAAGAAGTATTTAGCAGTCTTCATCCACATCGCTTGCACAAAATATTACTTATTTACATACATTTACTATATAATTATATATACACAGTATTTACATATACATATACAATATGTCCTTAAATTGAAAATGAGGCATGGAAGAGTAAAATAACCAGCAGCTATACCATGAAAAATTAGAAAAATATCTTCTTCATATATTTAAGATACAGAATACACAAATTATCTCTGAGTGAGATAAAGTAATAAAAGACACTGGACAATAATGAAGAAAGTATAGTAAATCATTATAAATCTATATCAATTCAATACTTAATCAAAATTAGACCATTACTAATGTATACATGTAAATATATGATAAAAGTGAGAGAGTATCCCTGCTATATTAAACTAAGTGCTACATTGGATATTAGTGACTAAAATGATGAATGAAATATTCCATATACTCTATATAATCTACAAATTAGAAATTTTCTGCACCGATTACTAATAAATGCTGTTTACATACAAATACTTTGTTTACCTAAGATGTGAAAGATTTATTGTGATGGGAAATTTAAATGCTGTTTGCAAGCTGATGTTGGGAAATTTAATGCTGTTTGCAAGCTGAAGTTGGGAGATGTGAAAGCAATTTTTAAAATATTTTACAGGTCATCAATATGTAACTGATTTTCTAATCTGCGTATCATTTGATCTAAATGTCTTGAGTTGGCAGCCTGTAAATAAAATTAGAATTATTACTAAAAATTACTTATTTATTTTACCAAAGCTCAAAAGCACACCAAGCCAGATCATTCACCTATATCTCAAACATCAAACATAGACAGGGGCTTGTGAGGCACAATACACCCACCAGCAGTGAAGTCATCTGTGGTAACTCTAAAATCCTGCTTAGCAAGTTTTAAATAATGCACCCAAGTTTTAAAATTTCATAAATAGCTTTGTAGTGTAAAGCATTCACAATGTGGACGGAAAAATAACTTGACAAATGCATTCAGTAGCACCAACACTTATTTTCAATTGAAATATTCTTAATTTTCCACATCAAACCCTACTTTATAACAGAAACAAAATGACAAGTAACTGAGTCATCCACATCAAATTTAATAGATCATTATAGATTGAATTTGATGACACTAAGATATTCCTCAAGATGTAACAGGTTTACAGAGATTGAGAAAACTGAAATATAAATATCAATAAGTAAACAGTATTGTATTGCTCACCTTATAATTTTGATGTTTCATTTCAGTATATTTGGTGGATTCTCTTTCAAATTCCAGTTCATTCTCTAAATGTCTCATCTGATTTTTATTTTCATGTTCAGCAAAATCAGCATAAGTTGCTAAACGACTAATTGTTTCTCTACTCTCCTGTTAAAAAAAAGAAAGAAAAAAAGGGTCTTTAAACTTATTTAATCTAAAGTTTTCCTGAAAATTCTGACACTGAGTCAGTAATACATAATCAATTGTTTCATGTGTTATGGAAACCTGCGACTCAAAAAATGAGTTATTTAAATTTAAGAATCTACGGACCTTGAATTTTTTCATGTGATCAAAAACCTTTATCATTATTAACTATGTAATTGTTGATAAAAATGGGGGAAATGTCAGTCAGGATTTCTACATTCACCATATTATTACAACCAGAGTGGAGAAACAACATTTAATTGAAAGCCAAACTCCAGTTGCTCAACTCGAATGTCAATTCTGTATTAATTTGTAGGTCAGTGACATGGACGAAAACCAATACTTACTAAAACTGGTATTCAAAGGCTTAAAGATACATTATGTAAGATTTAGATAAAGAGCTAGCCATTCTTGCTATAATATACTCAGCCAAATTAAAAACTTGACACTGATGAATTTCAACAAATTTTTTTTTCTGGTAAGTCAAATAAATTTTAAAGTGTTTCTAACGATAGTAAGTAGTAAGAAGCCTTTAATTTCATAAAATTGTAAAGTCACATGGATCACGTGACTTTTGAGCATATAAAGATGAAAAACCTGAAAAACACGTGCAAACACAAACTCGTGAGGTCAATCGATGCAAGTTTGCTTAAACTGAACACGCACACGTAACTTGAACTGGAAAAACAAATTAAAATTGTTATTTTCATCTTTTTTAGAAAATGCAGCGCCTTTCAAATGTAACATGTCTACGTGCTGTAGGTAGGCTCTATGCTGGTCAGTCTGTGGTCACTGTTGCAAGAGCCTTTAATTGTTCACGCCAGACAATAATTAATCTTAGAATGAGAGTGCTTCAAACTGGAACTATTGCCGACCGCCCAAGGGCGGGAGCGCCACGTGTGACGTCACTCCAGGAAGATCAAGCTGGTCAGTCTGTGGTCACTGTTGCAAGAGCCTTTAATTGTTCACGCCAGACAATAATTAATCTTAGAATGAGAGTGCTTCAAACTGGAACTATTGCCGACCGCCCAAGAGCGGGAGCGCCACGTGTGACGTCACTCCAGGAAGATCAAGCAATACGATTACGTCATTTTAGAAACAGATTTGTCACTCCAACCTCCACAAGTAGAGAGATGTTTGGTGGAAGGGTAACTGCACAAACTGTTCGAAATCGCTTGCAGACTGCTGGTCTTCGAGCCCGGAGGCCCTATAATGGACCAATATTGACACCTCTTCATTGCCGTAACCGACTTGTGTGGGCCACAAGACACATAAGATTTACTCAAAGACAGTGGAATTCGGTTGTCTTTAGTGACGAATCTCGATTCACTTTGAGATTTGACGATGGCAGGGTCCAAGTGTACCGCAGACGAGGTGAACGTTACGCTCAAGTATGCGTCAGAGAAGTTGACCGATTTGGTGGCGGCAGCGTCATGGTTTGGGGTTCTTTTTGTGCACATGGACGTTCTACTCTTGTTGTTGTCCAAGGGAACTTAAATGCTGTCCAGTACAGGGATCAGATTTTGCAACCTGTTCTTCTTCCGTTTATGCAGAGACATGGGCCTGGACTAACGTTTCAACAAGACAATGTTCGACCCCATACAGTAATTGCTACCCAGAATTTTTTAAGAAATGCCGGTGTCCAAGTCCTGGATTGGCCGTCGCTTATCCCCGATCTTAATCCTATTGAACACATCTGGGACGAACTGGGTCGACGTGTTCGTCAGCAAGTGAATCCACCACTGACGTTGCAGGACCTTCAACATGCTCTTGCTGAGCAGTGGCGACGTCTTCCTCGGGTAGTGTTTACTAATGTTCTGAGATCCATGTGGCAGTACGAGACGCTAGAGGAGGCCACAACCGTTACTAAACAATTTATTCCGATTGTTCTCCAAGTCTGTGAATTTCATTTTGGGGGGTACTGTGACATCACGAACGTTATCAATGTCAAGGACTTTCGGCGAGACGTATTCTTGCTTTCTGTTGATGTCAAGGTCGTCTGTGCACAACATAACACTAAAATAGTTGCCTTAAACCAAATATTAAAAATCTAGTCCCAAAAATCCTGAGTGTCAAGTTTTTAATTTGGCTGAGTATAGTTCGAAAATAGGTAATGCAAAATGAATAATTTGAAAACTGCATTCAAATTACTCTATTTTGAGTGAAGATATTAGGCTTTGAAGGTTTGACAAGACGTGTCCAATAATTTCAACCATCATACTGGTTGTTCGAAATTAAATCAAAATATGGCTGAACCTTTCTAATCTATTTAATATCGGAGAAATCTGATGCCATCAAGAGTTGATTATGGCCTGGATCAGTTAATTAATGTCTAATTAATAATTTAGAAAACATTTAAGGCCTAAAGAAAGAACTGCAGTAAGCAGATTTAGCTCTTGCATAATGTATGTTTCATGATAAATGTAAAACTGGGCACATTTAATTTATAGAATACTTGCAACTTCCAACAATACAATTTAGAGTTGAAATGAAATGAGGTTTAACATCCTACTGTTCTGCTACGACTGGGCTAATGAAGATGGGCATATGCCATACAGTGTGCTATGAGGGAAATTTTGTCTGGGCCTACTCTTATATCAAATTCCAACTTCCAAGGGATCTTTTACATACACATCAATGTGTACACGGGACCTATACATTGTCCCTTGCCAGGCCTTCTGTCCTGCATCACTGATAAGGGGGAACCACACCGGAAATTCCTTATTAACTTTGTCGGCCAACACAGAGATCAAACAAAAGACCTGCAGGTTATGGCAGGTTATAGCAACAGAAATAAAAGGACCAAGAAGAAGAACCTAAGGTAAATTAAAATTGTTTTAAAGAAACATTACCTTGATCATGTCCTTGGCTTTATCAGCAACTCTTTGAGCTTTTCGTTTCTCTGATTCAAGATGAGACGTTTGTACAGCATTATCTTCTTCTAATTTAGCTTGAGTTTGCCTTAAAAAATAATACATATCAATTTTTAAATTGAAATCATATTTTAAAATTTCAAATATTTTTCAAAGTTTATTCCATCCAGAACCATAGTGATTTGTGGTAATAAAACGTTCCTTTTCAAGTTAAAATTAAATGGAATAATTTACCTGGATCTCACAATTTCTTTTTGAAGTTTATCAAACCGTCCTTTAAACCACTGATGAGCATCTTGTAAATGCTGAGATATCTACAAAAATTCATTTGAAAAGATAAGTTTTGTTATAAACATCAGTAATATTTATGTATTTTAAGCACAAAGGCTAGATTAGAGAAATATTGTATCATTAGGGTCCTTTCAATAAGATAATACACATGGAATCCATTACTGTGTATTCTCTAGTCTTTATCAATATTACTTTATAAAGACTGGACATGGAATGAAATGGGGTTTAACATTTTATTTTTCTGAACCTACTGGGCTAAAGAAGATGGGTGTATGCCATATAGGGTTCTATGAGGGAAATTTTGCACAGACAGCAGTGCTACAGACATGTCAGTTTGAATTCCAAATGGTTCTTTTATGTGCACACCAAATGTGTACACTGTTCCTTTCAGGATTTCTTCCCATCTGAATGACTAAACAGACACTGTTCTTTGCCAGAGTATGTCATTCATATCATTGCTTGATATTAAGTCATTAAAGAATCTGAGTTGAAACATTGCTCAGTAATAAACCATAATTGTATTCCATAGAATGTAATCGAGTTAATAAATCCCATTGAAACAGTTTATCAATAAGATGATCTAGTGAGGTGTAGGACAATGTAATTAGACAAAGTTGATGTTACCAACAACAAATTTTTAACAAAGGCTATTACAGTATATATTTTCCATCCTTTTATTAGAAATGGATGATGCAAACTATTAATACATAAAGACATAATATAACTGTCATATAAAGTTAAGTACATCTGTATATAAATTTGAAACTAGAGTACAATGTAACTAATCATATTTTCAAGCGTGAAGCAAATTACTTTAACAATTCTATTATACCAAAACAAACTTCCTACCTCTAATGATTCATTGTGAGCTTCTTTTAAACGATCTTCTGCACTTTCTTTCTGAGTGTATAATTCTTCTTCACGTTTTTTGGTAAGCTGAAAGGGTTTAAGCAAAAATAACCATCTATTATAATCATATAACTATCATTATATATAAGTTCTGACTGTTCTTTGAAACCTTTTTGTAGAGACATATTCGTATTCAACATCTTAATTGAAATTACATAAAGTTTAAAAACCTTTTTCCTCAGGGTTATTGCCTGACTAACATTTCACAGTAAAATCTGCCAGTCTTATCAATAGCTCTAATGTGAAAACAAAACTGTTTAATTAAGTGGGCAACATACACTATATTTTTTCTTCATCTCTTCTCTTAATTTCCGCTCTTTCTCCAGTGCATTTTCTTTCTGCTGTAGTAACTGATTAGTGTTAGCTTGGGCTTCTGCTAACTGTTTTAATTCTGACTGTAGACCACTGATCTGCTTCATAAAGGTCTTAATGGTATCTGCCTGAGTTGCATAACAAAAATATTTGGTATAACTTCCCATGCGCAACTATGATATTTCATTGAACTACTGTATAATAAGGTTTTTTTAAAGAAACAAAATAAGTTAATGTCAAGATATATATACCAACAAAATTTAAATAGTTAATGAATTGATAAGTATCTGGTAGATTTATATATATATCTGATGTAAATTAATCATTATTTAGCATTTTCATTCTTCAGCAGATATACTTCATGCTATCATACCTGTTCTTTATTTTTAGATATATATTCATCTCTCATTGATTCTAGCTCATTCATATCTTCTTTCACTGCCTGAAATAAAAGACACATGGTCATCAATGTAGCCAGACAATAGTCATGTAACAAAACAAATTTTTGTAAACCAAAATAATTTTATATTACTGAACACAATTATAAAGAAGGGATGCGATCTAACATCGATAACCTGAAAACCAGATGAGGTCCATAGTCTTTTTCGGGTGGGATTGAAAACAATGTTACCAGATGCCAATCACATAGTATTCTTCTTCAGGAAAGAGCAGATAACTCAACCACATCCTAAGAGGTAAAACACTTGCTGACCAGACACAAGACAAATATTACCTTCATTTTCACAAGATTCTCCTCCAGATGCTTCTTAGCTTTGTGTAAATATGCCATTTTGTGTTTTTGGTCAGTAACTTTTGTCTGTAATTCAGTTATTGACTTTTCTTTATCTGACATTTTGTGTCGAAGTTCAGTATTTGTTTTAACCAATTCTGAATTTCGAGAAGCTAAGCTATCATTCTGTTTCTTCATCTGAAACATCAATAAAAAAAACACCTCAAATATATTTTTGATCATGATTTCTTTAATTGAAATTCACAGCTGCAAGGTAAAGGCAAGAAACATAGGAGAGTATGGCTTTAATGGCAGCATTTGTGATAATATCTGTACAAATTTTATACAGATATTACCACTAAATGTTATTCAACATGGTCTCTAAATATAATAGTATACACTGGGGATGCAATACAGGATTTCCAAACTAAGAAATTTGGTGTATCACTATTTTCACTTTGTTTGAGATTTTATAAAATAATTTAATTGTATGAAAACACACTTCCGTTTACTTAATAAAAATTCATGTAAACAATGGCATAATAAAAGGATTTTTGTACAATAAATTGATGATTTTAGACATCTTTTTCTTTTTTATACTGTATTGAAATCTAAATTTCTTATTTAATGACACCATTCAAAATCCTAATTCCAAAATTTTATAAATAATGCAAAATTGTTTGAAATATATTGCAATAACTATACATTGCATTGCAATAGACCTGGTTGCATCACTACATATTGCAATACGAGTTGGGGCTGCAATACGCAGTCCTTTTCTACACTGTGCCAGTTGTCTTGTTACATGAAATTTCAACCATTCAAATCAAAGGTTACCTCTGATATATCTCGGCTTGTCTTTTTCATAGATTTTTCTCTTTCTTTCTTCAATTCTTCTCTTACTTTCTCCATTCTACTTTCAAATTCTTTAATTTCATGTTTCATTTCATCATGTTCTCTATTTCTAAAAGATAGGAATGTAGTTGAAAACATTGTTAAATCATGTTATGATTGCAAATAATATAGGTAAACACACAGAATTGGAATCAATCATACAATAACAATATACACCTGATATCATCTTCGGTATTCCCAGCAGTATTGTTCCGTTCTACTCCATATGCATATAGTCAAATTATCTGCCCTTGATAAAAAATGTGCTATTTTTATTGACCAATCAAAAAATTCAAAGGGAACTAACTCACATTTTATTGCAACTAAATTGAGCACACAAACTGCTTTATTGTGGTGAACGTCAACAATGACGCTAAGAGGGGTATGTAAACTGTTTTTTGATTGATTCATAGAATCAATCTACATGCCAATGAAATCACCAAGTGCAGATAATTTGAATTCGTGAAAACCCCGTTAATGGACCCAGTGGAGTAGAACGGAACGATGCCACTGGTTATACCGAGAATGACCTGATAATAATATATGCATCTGAAGGAAAGGTGAAACATATATACTGAGCGCCATGGAAAACGCATCACTTAGTTTTTCGTATAACAAAATGATCCTGTAAACATATCTTATTTATTTTGGTTCTTATTGTGAACAATATTCATATGGGAACACATCAATAACAACATATTTGTACACTTATGGATGTTTTATCTGTAATCAACGGTACAAAGTCAGAGGGGTCAAAACCAAAAGTATGACACAGATGTCAGTAGCGCGTGTGCCCTCCACGGGCCTTTACGCACGCTGCGCAGCGACGCCGCATGGACTTTACCAATGTTTGAAAGAAGGCCGGCGTCCAATATCATCCCAGACATGTTCTGTCGGTGCCATGTCCGGAGACATGGCTGGCCAGTCCAAGACTTTGATGTTGTTAGCAGCCAGGTAGTCCATACTAAAACGGGCGATATGCGGACGTGCATTATCCTGTTGGAAGTGCTGAAGTTGTGGGTGCGCTCGAAACACCGGAACAACAATTGGTTGCAAGACATCATCACAGTAGGCTACAGCATGTAGCGGTCTTGAGCCTGGGTTGTAACACGTTGTGGACCAGGACGTTGACGGTCACGTGTTGATCCAGTAACTCGAACACGTTCCACCAACCTTACAATAGTGGACTGATGACAATTGAAGTGTCTGGCAATAGCACGTGTAGACATGCCAGCCCTGGACATTCCCATGACTTCATTCTGTTGATTTTCAGTAAGTCTCGGCATCTCTAGCTCGATTCTTTCACATGTCCAACAACAAATTACGACAGATTGACGTTTCACAGTTCACGTACTGCACATTAAGCTGAAAACATGCTTTTAAAGGGCTAACACACAATGCTGCACGTGAATATTGGGTTTTTCATGTGCATCTTGTGCAATTTTTTTTTGGGGCACACGGGCCGATATTTTTTGCATTTGGGAGCATTGTGTGAAACAATAGTTCATAGTATTGTATAATATTATACATACAAAACCACCTAGTAATAAAATATTTGGGAAAAAAAAGTGATGCGTTTTCCATGGAGCTCAGTATATTTAATGAACAAAATAGGTAAATATTTATCATTAATCATTGTTCTGTACAGGTATGTCAATTTTGTGACAAAATATTTTGAATATTGATAGGGAATAAGTTATTAAACAGACAGCTGTGTGTAGTGTCAGGATAACCTTGTCTATAGTTGGCCATAATTCTTTATCTATATTTTACCTAACACTGTTACATAATTTTCCAATAGCTCAATCTGTGGAGGTGAAACTGTTCAGAAAGGTGAATACGCTATTTCTTTACACCCATTTGTATCAACCTGTGAAATCTGAGACAGTTCTGTTGATTTGATTATTCTATCAGGGCCCTGTTTCTCAAAATCTTAACTAAAGATAAAATCCAAATTTTACTTTTAGTAGATACTTCAATTTTGATTGGCTAAGCACTAAAATCAATCTAATATTATCCAATCAAATTACTAAAATTTGGATTTTATCTTAGTTAAAATTTCGTGAAACAGGTCCTTGGTGGTTAAAATTACAAATTTTGTCCCGATATATTTAACATTAATACACAAACAACAAATATCTAATCATCTTACTTTTGATTTTTAAGTTGTGATATTAAAGTATCCTTTTTTCCAAGTTCTACTTGAAGATTTTCTACTACTGTCTGTAACTGGGAATGAGATGTCATTACAGCTTCTAATGTTCCTGCTATTTCACGATTGACGGCTCGAGCATCCTCCATATGTTTCTGGGTATGAGATACCTAAATACGCACAAATATAATACATGCCAATAGATTTATTATATGTTATGATATTGTATTTCATTCATCATACATTTTCATATTCTACTTCATTATATATACATTCTTATGAGTTCATTGCATGTTTTGTTATTCTATTTCATTAAACATGTTCTGCTATTCTAATTCATCATAATGTTATGTTATTATATTTCATTACATATTCTATAACTCTTCATCATCATAAGTTGCTATAGTATTTTATTATATGTTCTATTATTTTATTTTATCATAATATTCTGTTATCCTACTTCATTTACATTGTATGTTCTGTTATTCTATTACATTGTATGTTATCATTCTATTTGATTTATGTTATTGGCCAAGGGGGTAAGACGCTGGCTCGGTAGCCTGGAGGTCGGGTGTTCGATCCCTGCATTGGCCGAGAAAGTTCATACTGACTTTCAAGCGTGGTTCCCCCTTGTCAGTGATGCAGGACGGAGAACCTGACATGGAAAGCTGTCTAGTCATTCGGATGGCACGAAAAACTGCGGTCCTGTGTACACACTAACGTGCATGTAAAAGATCTATTGACAGAATTTGATATAAGAGTAGGCTGTAGTGCCGCTGTCCGAGCAAAATTTCCCTCATAGCACACTGCATGGCGTATGCCAGTCTTCATTAGCCCAGTTTGGATTAGAACAGCAGGACGTTAAACTCCATTTCAATTCATTTCATGTTATTCTCCTATTTGATATATGTTCTGTTTTTCGACTTTCATCCTGTGTTTTAATTCTATATGTATTTCACCATAAGTTGTTATTCTATCCATTAAAATAAGTAAATCTAGTTACACTGCTTACGTCAAGTTCATTTTATGATACTTACTTTATGTTTTTCTCTGCCTTCAATCATTTCTATATGACTGAGTAATTCTTTAATTTGTTTTTCTAGTTGTTTCTCTGTTTCTATAACCTGTTGTAATTCTTCTTCTTTAAGTTGCACGGCTGACTGGGATTGTTTTAACTGGTGCTCTAATCTTTTTACCAGTATTTTTGTTTCACTCATATCTTTATGTGCCTGAAAGTTAAATATCAAAATGCCAAAAGTTTAAATTGCCACTACTTCATGTGTTGATTTTTGTTGGTCTTTCATTCAAAATGTTTATACTACACATCATAAAGCCAATACTGGGATATAATTGGATTTAAACAAAAAATTAACTTCCGCTTATAAACTTTTGAAACAAAAATTTATATTAAAATAGATCTTGTCCCATCACTAATCGAAATAACACACCAGATCAATACTTTAAATGCAGGATGGAGGGCCCGACAAGGACAGCTGTGCAGTCGTTCGGATGGGACAAAAACCGAGGTCCCGTGTAAACATTGGCATGCACGTAAAAGATCCCTTGGCAGTTGGAATTCCATATAAGAGTAGGCCTTAGTGCCGCTGCTCGGGCAAAATTACCCTCATATCACACTGTATGGCATATGCCCATCTTCATAAGCCCAGGTTAGCAGCAGAACAGTAGGACGTTAAACCCCATTTCATTTTATTTCATTTAAATGCTTTATTTTAACCTAAACCAAATAGATCTTATCTCCTTTAAAATAAATGTCTATAATTTTCTCAATGCCTTTCCAACATTTATCGCATTAGCTCAAAAATTCATCTGAGCAACATTTATCACCACATTAGCTCAAATATTCATTTGAGCAACCTAAGCTTATCTAGATTCAACTATAACAAACCTTGCTGTATTTATCTTGTAAACCTTTACTTAGTTTACGAAGTTGTGGAACATCAGAGAGATCCTTCTGTGCTGATTGTAATTCGGAACGCATCTGTGTCACTTGACTTTGTAATTTACCATTTTCATAGGCCAGTTTATTTTTTTGATCTAACATGTCCTTCAGTGTTTCTTCTATTTTCTTCTGTGAGGACTACAATAAATATTAGATGTAACTTACTTTACTTTAAAACTATAATAGTAACATATATCTGAAGCAATTTGCATTACTCTAAACTCTTGGATGCAGGAGAAGAAAATAATCCCTAAAGGCTGTTCCATAACCTTTAGGAACATATAGATGTAGAGATCACATCTTTTGGTATAAACAAAGTGATCCAGTGATTGTATATTTTAAACTACTACACATCAATTATCAATGATTTAATATACTTGACCACAGTCATCCGGAACTTTCAGGAATAGATAAAGGTAGAAATCTCATCTTTTGGGACAGCCCAAGGTATGTTAAACTCCAGCGAGTTATTACTGAATTAAGATGGTCTAAGACTATACGAAAGCTAGTGGTTGAGTAGATATAATTTCTTTTGAAGCAAGAATAATTAGATGCACAGATCTAGCTTTTTGTAAAATCTCAACTTATCCAGATTTCCATTAATATTTAGAGTTTACATACAGTAGCTAACAAATTTTATTAAACGTAACCAAAATAAGATGGAATTATTCTGTAGTTAGCATTTGAGTACGAGTAGCTACAATTTCATCTGAAATCGAGTACTGATATGTCCACAAAGAAAGAATTGAAATACCAATATTGCCTAGTTAAGTACCTGTTGCTCTGTAACACTACCCAATCTCTCTATTAAATCAGCATTTTCTCGTTCCAATTGAGCCTGAGTGGTATAAAGTGTATTTAATTCTAATTTGGTATCTTCTAAATCATTCTGTAATTTCTTTCTTTCTTCCATCATTGAGTCTACAGTATGATTTACCTATCAAAAATAATGTGGAAAATGGCAGTAATAAATGATGAATAATGTTTTCTTCAAAAAATGTTGTTCAACTGGATTCCCATATTCAGATTTCTACTACCAGTACAAGAAATGTCAGAATTTAAAACATTTTAGTTTTACCTTCAATAGCTGGCAACTTTATTAATATTTTAAGAAAGATCATACGTCAATTTTAAATAACAAACCTCTTCTAATAAACTCTCTTTATCTTTTATCAGAGCTTCCTTCTCAGATTGATTTTTTTGAAGTTGATCTCTTAATGATAACAATTCATTTTCTAAAGCACTGGCAGCTGAGGTAAATCCTTTTTCTTTACAAGTGATGTGATCTCTTGCTTCAAACAACTCAGTTTCACATTTAGCACTAGAAAAGCAATCATAATAATTTTCATTTAGTGTATTCTCTCCAAATGTCATTTAATGTGGTATAAATTGCATTTCTATTGATCAACCAACCAGATTACAGTAAGTTAATTGTGTGTGCAGATGGCATTTTGGTTACGGTAGATATGTTATTAGAAAAACATCCTTGCATTATCTCATTTATAAGAATTGAAATGAAATGAAATGGGGTTTAACGTCCTACTGTTCTGCTCCTATACTGGGCTAATTAAGACGGGCATGCGCCATACAGTGTGCTACGAGGGAAATTTTGCCTGGGCAGCGGCACTATCGCCTACTCTTATATCGAATTCCAACTGCCAAGGGATCTTTTACGTGCATCTTAATGTATACACGGGACCTCTGTTTTTTGTCTCATCCGAAGGACTAGACAGCTGTTCTTGTCAGGCCCCCCGTTCTGCACCGCTGACAAGGGGAAACCACGTCGGAAAATCAGGATGAACTTTCTTGGCCAAAGCAGGGATCGAACACCCAACCTCCAGGCTAGCGAGCCAGCATCTTAACCACCTAGCCACCGTGGCTCCCTCTAAGAATTGACTGAGAAAATTGCAGTATATTTGAAGATTATCAACATTCAGTCACAAGAATCCACCAAAATAGATTGCAGTATGTGTCAAATAACTGATAATTAAGGTACATTTCAAGTTTGTCCATCTATCCACCTCAGTTAAAGTTGAAGGATGGCATGTAAAAGTTATAAACATGTATGCTTAGACTTCCTTACATCTTTTTTATCAAATCGAGATTTTCTTCCCCAAGATCTTTAACTTTAGTTCTAAGATCGACCGACTCTTCTTCTAAATTTATTTTCTCCGATAATCTTGCCTTTTCATTCTGCCATAAAAATAACATTAATTATGAATTAATCTTGGATTAAAAATAGATTTCAATGTTTCAAATATCATGCCAAGCATGTACTAATTACAAGTTACAACAATTACAGTGCAATGAGAGAGAGAGAGAGAGAGAGAGAGAGAGAGAGAGAGATGGGATTTAACGTCCACTCGACACGAACTAGGTCATTTCGCTACTAACACATGGTTCAATTTTATTTCAATAATTTGCTTGCGCGTAGGGGTCTTTAGCAGTGGGAGGAAACCAGAGGACCCAGAGAAAACCCACGAGGTTGGACAGGCGACCCTACTCCTTGTCATGTACAACCGGGAAATTGAAACCACGAAAGTTGACTCAATGACAGACCTCATGATACAGCGTACATGTGCTAACCATTCAGCCATCCAACCCCCACAGTACAATGAAAATAATAATACTATAATATACACTTTATCTCTTTACCCTGTAATTTAGGTTTCAAAATACTGAATCGATAATCAGGATTATGTTTATGCATGTCATATAGTTATCAAGTTACATTGATTAAAAATTTAAACTAACAACGGGTCAAAATACTGGTAGGGAATCAAGATAAAAAATTTATAAATAACATGTTTTGATGTACTACATTTGGGGCATTGACAACTAATGTTAGTTTCTGTCTGAATGGTGAATTAGATTGTTAAACACAGCTGTAATGTTTAACCATGGACCAGCCTGTAATTACCTCAACATCTTTCTTATGTTGTTGTTTATATTTATCTTTGTCTTCTGTAACTTTCAATAAACATTCTTTCAGATCTTTATTTTCCTTTTCTAATGCTGTTGTTTTTTCCTATTAATTGAAAAATGTGGAATCATTACTTATCTATTCAGGAACAAATTTTTAACACTATACATTTATGTGCTGGGAAATACATTGTCTGTGAATAAGTGAATATGGCTATGGTCAATGCAATTATCAAATTGTAACTTGGTAAGTTAAAATACAATGAGTATGGCAAAAATATGAAATCAATGAATAAAAACATGCATGAGTGGATAGAAAAAAAAGGTATCAAATTTTGAATGTCTAAATCTTATAATTTATTTTACTTACTTTGTGTTGATCCATTAATAATTTGGCTTCTTCTAACTGGCTAATCAGTTCATCATATTGTAGTCTTAGTCGATCCAGTTCTGTTGTAATCAGTTGTTTTTCTGTTTCAGTACAATGTAAACCTTGTTTTAAATGGTCTGTTTAAAATAAAAAAAGGTTATTCCAAAATGATCTAGAATTTACAAAGTGTCCTGATCTTAAATATATAGCAATATTTAACTCAAATGGCTATAAATGAAATGAAATGGGGTTTAATGTCCTACTGTTCTGCTCTGACTGGGTTAATGAAGAAGGGAAATTCTGATAACAGTGTCTAGTACTGCAACAATAACAGCACTCTCAATTAACACTTTTATGAAAGGATTTGGTCCCACAATGGGGAATTAATTTAGACAATATGAAAAATAAATATTTGCATATAATTAACTTTTTAAACTAATATACATGTACTAGAAGCCTGTAAAATGTTATATTTCATGTTATAAAAGTAATTTAAGGGCGCTTGACTGGCCACATGCTTAAAGCAACATGTGTTATTCTAAACATCTTAATAGAACACAGGAATCAGGTGTTAAAAGTGTACTATGGATATATTGATCCAACAATAAATAGATCTATAAAGCTATAAGCTTATACATATAGTTACGTGTAGGATTAATGGGCAAAATTTGAACACTGCATACATGTATTTAAATGCACAGTATTTATGGTAGATAACTATACCTGTATCAGTATTTAATTTGTTATATGATTCTTCAGTTTGTTGACGTAGTATCTGTTCCTGAGATAAATCAGTTTTCAACTGGTTCACTTCTGCTTTTAGTGCTGAACAAACACTGTTTATATTACCAACCTAAATGTGTATAAACAAAATAAGAGAAAACTGGTTTACTGGTTGTATATGTACATGCTGTTAAACATTAACCACAGTTCAGTCTAATCAAAATTAAACTGGGTTTTTTTTTTCGCTTATATTGGCGGTTTTACATTACATTTACATTACAGTCTACAGCACAGTTACACTGTAGTCTGACAACATCTTTAAAAAGTTTATTTTTAAATGACCAGACCTGACCTCTTATCTAGCCAATGAAAAGCTGATTGGTACTAACCAATCACAAATCAAATCATCCCTCAAAGAGAACAGATAACTCATATATAAAGAAGTAGCAAAAGTGTCCTGTAGGGGGGTTGGGATGTCCTAGAGTGTTGTGCTGCAAGCTCTATCTGGCCTGTCACCTTAAAGTTACTTTCCCACAAAAGTATTTATCAGGTGGTTATTTCCAATAAAAGTATGGCAATTTTTGGTATATATGGAAAGTAGAAACATCCAGTCTTACTAGAAAAATACTGGATTCCCTGAAAAAACACCCATGGAGCGCATACAAGACAAACATGTAAGGGTTTCCCTAACCGGCAACCCGATGATTAGGGATATCTACTCGAGTGACGTCAAAGGTTGTACACACAGATTGTATGAACTTTAAGCATTAGTGAGCGCTTGATATATATATATATATATATGTAGATAAACTTGATTTCATATGGTAAAAGATGACCAGTCACTTAGAGTTGATAGAGAACTACATTGTAGGCCCACATGTACATGCATTTATACTACATGTACATAGTCAATTCAAGTTTTGTCTAGTGGCTATATGTATTTTTATCAATTCCAACCGTCTAGTAAATATAATAAGATTATTATTTCTTTTACAAACCAACCTCTTCCCTTTCTGATTCCACAACCGTTTCCATGTCACGAACCCTGGACAGTAGTGTATTATGGGAATGCTCTAAGCTGGATCGAAGACTTTTTTCCATCACTAATTCTTCTTTTAATTCTGACACACGTCGGCTTAGCTTCTGTTTACTGGTAACATAATCATCCATTGACATAGTTGCTTCAGTCTAAAAACATATTATTGAATAGAAACAAAATTAATATGATTTTTGGAGAGTTCAGTGAAATACTAATTTAAAAAACCAAAAAAAAACCAACCGAATACTACAATTCTAAACAGACTGTCAAATCTCAGTAAGGACCAGGCACAGCACCATTAAAATTTCAGTAATGCAATTTGATAGAGGATACTGATCCTTGAAAACAGAGTGGTTTCACTGACTAGCTTTGGGATTATAAAAAAGGGTGTTGTTTGAATGTTTGTAGGTGCAATGACTCACTTCGTCCATACGTAAAGTTGCTTTCTGAAACAGGATCCCAGAACAGCCACAAGGAGATTACAAACTTTGCCAAGGACAAATCTAGCCAAGAGGTCTCGCATTCCCTAAAATTTAAGTTCTGTGCTTTTTACAGTTCCATTAAATGTACAGCTATATTGAAATGTATTATTACCTTTGATTTTACAGCCTCTTCTAAATCAGTTCTTAGTTGTTTAATTTCTTCTTTTGCTGTGTTTTTAAGCTCAATTTCTTGGACTAGATCATCTTTTAATGTTTTGAGTTTTCTGGTTAGTTTGGATATTTCAGATTCATAATTCTGTCGTGTCACTTGTAACTTTTCTTCCACTTCAGCTTGAATCTTTCTCTGTAAATCTTTATTACCTTGTAGATTAAGTAAACCTAGTTTCATTGTCTGTATAGCACTTTCTGTCCTACAAACTCGAGAAACAAGTGTCTCATAATTATTCTGAAGAATTTCAGTATCTGCAAGCCTGGCTTTGAATGGTGATAATCTTCCATCGGAATCAGAATTTTTTGACTGAGTAAAACCAAGGTCATTCAGTGTATCTATTAATTGTTGTGTGTCTTTTTCCGCAGCATGGAGTCTTCCCTCCAGAACCTGCACAGTTTGGTGACTAGGTGAAGGCGGTGCTGATGGGGGTATCACTGGCCGTGACATTTTAAGTATGCTGCTCTCTGTAAATGAGCTATCCATTTTGTCAAATAATCTCAAATAACTTCATATCACTTCCAATTAAATCTGCTAATGAAATATTTAAATCAAACAGCATTAATATCAAACCCAATTCTGCTTGTTGATGTTGTTGGATAATATTATATCAAAAATTACAAAATGAAAAATAGTTGAAAAATATGGAGCCAAAATGAAATGAAATGGGGTTTAACGTCCTACTGTTCTGCTTCGGACTGGGCTAATAAAGACAGGCATATGCCATACATACAGTGTGCTATGAGGAAAATTTTGCCCGGATAGCGCCACTACGGCCTACTCTTATATCGAATTCCAACTGTCAAGGGATCTTTTATGTGCACGCCAGTGTGTACACGGGACCTCGGTTTTTCGTACCATCCGAACGACTAGACTGCTGTCCTTGTCAGGCACTCCGTCCTGCATCACTGACAAGGGAGAACCAAGCCAGAAAATCTGGATGAACTTTCTCGGCCAATGCAGGGATCGAACACCCGATCTCCAGGCTAGCGAGCCAGCGTCTAACCCACTTAGCCACCGTGATCCCCCAAATATGGAGCCCAACTAAGCTAGAAGTTTTGTGAAGAAATATGACTGAATGGTACCTTTCCCAGTAATTGAACAGAAAGTGTACTACAAAGTCTACTAAGTACTCATACTTCTAATATTGTAGTAAACAATGGTACTGTACCTTAGCCTACTGCTAGTGTACTACTTCTACTGATTACGTGTCATTTCGGATTTAAAAAAATATGGCTTCGACATTTCGTACTCGGGTAGGTGACGTTTCGGACTCGGGAACAAGTTGAAAGGTAAGGTTGAACACAACTGTCAAATCAATCTATAATAAACCAATAGCGATTTTATCAAAAATAACATGCAGGTAAAATTTACTGCTCGCAATCAAGTACAGCACGTGGAATCGTGGATCACGCACCGTATACATGTAGATCTCTCAAGGAACTGCAAAATTTTCAATGTTGAATGTTTATCTGTAATATGTTTATAAAAAGTAGCAGATGAATTTATTAGAAATAGTCCAATTCAAAACACGAAAGAAAATATTAACATGAACCACATGGTTATTAAAAGACTCTACCAAGCGATAAAACATAGTTGTACTTACAGTTCTTTATCATCGTTTCCCGTAAAAAAAATTATTTTATTAAAAAAGAATAATCTGTAGAATTTATTTCAAAATGACCTACACAAAAAACCAAAGTAAATATTTACTCGACATGCACTGTTTTTACAAGCCCCTAGAATTTTTTAACGATAATCTAGTGTTGAGTCCGAAATGACGCGGAACAGAAATGAAGTACTACCCTTCTACTGGGGGGGGTTGGATGGCCGAATAGTTAGCGTGTGCACGCTGTATCATATGGTCTGTCATTGAGTCAACTGGCGTGGTTTCAATTCCCCTGTTATACATGACAAGGAGTAGGGTCGCCTGTCCAACCTCTTGGGTTTTCTCCGGATCCTCCGGTTTCCCCCCACTGCTAAAGACCCCTACGCGCAAGCGAATTATTGAAATAAAATTGAACCACGTGTTAGTCCCGAAATGACCTAGTTTGTGTCGAGCGGACGTTAAACTCCATTTCTCTCTCACTACTTCTACTCAGATTTGTACTAATTTGTAGGCTTATCGATGAATATTTTTTAGACATTGCAAACTGTGATCTTAGCTACGAGAACATAACTAAAAAGACGCTGAGATATACTGATGTGCTTGTTTTTAGCTACGATTGGATGCCTTTAGTTCCAAGTGGCAAACTCAATTTCTTTATTAATGTATGTACCATCTTAAAAATAAGTTAATTTTATACTATTAGTACTTATTACACATACGCAGTCCAATCTACTGAAACAACATTCATTTATCTGCAAATATTGACAATAAAGTAAATCCATCGTTGTTTTTATCATAATTGATTCAGACGTTCATAATTACGCCGTAATACCTACTGCGCAACTCTGATCAGATGGGTACTTTGATTGGCTATTGCACACGAGGCCCTGCCTTTATGTGTGTACAGACGTAAATTTAAAATGTCGGGAAAAGCGATCTACTGTTGCTTTGATTTATAAAGAGGGGATTTGTACCCATTTCAGGTAGGATTATATGCTTAATTGTAGTTGGGTGTGGCAGAAATATTATAAATAACAATAACCAATCGTCGTTTTGATTAAAAATATTGTCAATTTTGTTTACGAATGCCGCGTGCGAATCGCTCCCGAATGTGCTACGTTGAAGGCAATGGCCTCATCTCTTATCTCGAAACACGGAGGGTTGAGAGATTAAAGGAGCTAAATCGATAACATTTGGGACCTAGAAATTGACACAAGTGGGTCGCAACTCATATGATATAATACTGTAATATGAATGTATATAAACTGATATACATTCAATGGTTTCCGTTTTTACTCTAATTTCAAATCAGTTATGTTCCGCGAAATAAGCCTGCAGTCTCAATCGAATGCAAATTTCTAGCGCCTGGTTATTCCAGTCTACATACGCCGTTTGGTTTAGTGCAATATGTCTAGTCTCGTTCCTCGAGTCTCTTGCTAGAGAACTGAGGCTGAAACGCATGATTATTTTGTCAAAATGTTTATTTTGTCTTAAATATTGGATATCAGAAGCCCATCTTTTTCAGGTAAGATCACAGCATGAATGTTGATTTAAATTGACAAATAATTTGTGTTTTCAATGTTGAAGATTTTGGATGATATTGAGTTAGAGACTTAATGTCTTAGCTACGGTACTTTTAGGTTTGTTATCTAGCCTAACTGTGATCTCTGCTGTAGAATTCACGAAATTGAACTGAATAGCAGCGCAATGTGTATTAGGACGTGTATTAGTATACAAACCTTATGGTACTAAATCACATAAAATAAATTCCATTTAAATAGATAACGGTATAATTTCACATCAAAATAACACTTCAAAAATTCATTCAACTCGAACCTGCCTCTACTTGCATGGATTTACCCACAGAACCCTGATTGGCTTAAAAGACATGCTCTCTAAAAAAGAAAATAACAATCCGTCCTGTAGTGTAAATATACGGATAGTCTTTGGATTGGGGAAAGAAATGTGAGAAAATCCTTGGAATAATTTCTTGCTTTTCAGTGTTGCCTTAAGCACTCGACAAAGGCAATAGGCTAGAATTAAACAAAAGAAGGAAAAATGAAATAGCTTTGTCCAGATTCCATGCTTAATGCATTAAACTGAATGGAATGATAAGATAAAATAAGATATTTATTGCATCAAAACGTCCATTAAGGACAGCATGCATACATATATACACACTTGGACATAGTCATATACATTTAATAATACATGTACATATTACATAGACAACTCAATACATTCATACAGACAGTATACTACATGTATATCAAAGGGGTTTCAGTTACATGTAGTTGCCACCAAATGTGATTTAGCTCTCTCACAAAAGCCAAAAACACATATAAAGTCACTGCCTTGGCAATCAATTTTGGTGGTGTAAAGAGATTAAGAAAATTGTAGGAAATCTTAGGATTTGCCGAGAAGGCTGGATATAAATGAGCTTGGCGTATTTCTTCATACTTGCTACAGTATAGCAAAAAATGTTGCTCGTTTTCGATTGAGTTTAAATCGCAAAATTTGCATAGAATCTGAATGTGAAGATATGGATTTTTGAGTGCTTATTTACTTCATGGACTATCCGGTCTTTCAAGTTCCCTTTCCATACATAGGCGTACGAGCCAGGGGGGGGGGGCAGCTGCCCCCCTAACTTCCGGGCAAGCTGACTTTTCGGGAAGAAGGGTAAAGTGAAAAAAAAATTTTTATTTCATCTACTTGGCAAAATAAAGTGCCCGAAATCTAATTTTACGGGCTGGAATGGGCGTCCATACAAGGTCAGTTCTGCTTCTTCACCTCTCGAAGAAAACCTGAAATTTTTTCGGGCATTTCTAGTTTTTCTTCCCTAACTGTCATTGAGCCCTAATAAAACACTAATTTTACTTTTCTTTTAATTGAATACCACAAATTTGTACTGAGTTGACAATGGATTAAAACATTTTGTGTGGAGCCACTCTACTTTGTGCGACATTTTTCGATCATCGATTATTATTTGTGAATGCAGCTGCAACGGTCTGATTGGATGGTTGGAATTCAGAATGGGATTTCTGTTACAAAACCATTCGATACTTTTGGAGTTGCTTACACGGGCTAGAATAGCAGAAAACGCATTTGCGGTGGTTAGATTTTCAAAACTTTCTCCGGGAGAGTGAGGCCCCCAGGGTGAGGCCCCCCATACCCCTCGACGATTGATTGGTTGTATGGAATTCGGGTCAGCCAGGTAGGCTATATTGGACCAAATTGAAGTTGCTGTATTCACAGACTGGAATAGCAGGAGAACGCGTATGCGACTGTTAAATTTTCAAAAGTTTTTCCAAACGGTTCCGTCTCCGTGGACTGTAAACAATTGATCTTTTGATTGGAATTCGAATCAGCCATCTTAATTAGGCTATATTAGACCACTTTGAAGTTGCTTTGTTCACGAGCTGAAATAGCAGGAAATTATGTTTGCTGCCGTCAAATATTCAACAATTTTCTTGGGGGGGGGGGGAGGGGCGGTGGGTACAATACATGGGGAGCTCTGCTTCTTCGCCTCTCGAGGAAGATCGGCGCCGCTGTCTGTACACCCGAAATTTTTTCGGGCATTTCAGGTTCTGCCCCCCTAAATGTCATCGAGCCCGTACGCCTATGTTCCATATCTTATTTCGTACAATATTGTCTGGTTGGTGTCAGTGGCGTAAAATTCTCACCGAAGGGAACAAACGCCTATGATTTTCGACAAAGAGATTTATTGAGCTATATCTTCTAACTCAATATTTTCCATAATGGTACAGGCACCACTTGTATTGAACAAAGAAAACATAACGTATAAGACAATACTGAAGTAATTAATAATGGCTGATTCAAAAACGACGAAAAAATTATTTTTAAAAAAAAAACCGTGTAGAATGGACTATGTAGGCGTAAACGACTTTCGTTCAAGTTGGACTGTTTAAATATTTCACCGAACATAATTGATTAGAAATTACAAAAATATTTTTAACAAATTGAATATATACATTCGCATTACATTAATATGTGCTTTTGGACGCATTCTCGTCCATTTTGAGGTTCCAAAGAATAGAGCCACACGCAAAATCAGTGCAGTCGGTCGCAAAATAAGAGCAGTCGGTATCAAAATAAGTGCATGCTCACTGTATACGTCACGCTACTCACGCAACACTTTAGTATAAAATAACCTTGTCAACTTATCATGTTTGAAAAAATGTTGTGCTTCACTCTTATTCTGTTGTGCGTATGTTGGTCTATGAACAAAATTTCCCCCAGGGAGAAAAATAGTCGGTCTCAAAATAAGTGCAGTCACTGCAGTCGGTCTCAAAATTATGAGGTAAACAAACAATGCCACAATAAATTCCAATGTATTTGCGTGAATCCGTGAGCGTAAATTGCATACGTCACACAAAACTATAGTATAAAATAACCATGTCTGCTTGTCATGTTTGAAAAAATGTTTGTCACTCTTATTCTATTGTGAGTATGTTGTTCTATGAAATGTTTTCCCCCCATGGCAAAAAAATAGTCGGTCTCAAAAAATGTACTCACCGCAGTCGGTCTCAGACTAAATGAATTAATGAGGTAAACAAACAACCACAAAACATTCCGTTATAACATCATTCTTCAATTCCTCTGTTTTCTTATACTATATCAGCACTATCATATTCACGCTTATATTCACGCTTATGCAGTAAGGTTTCACCTTAAATTTATTTCAATGGGAATTGGTTTATTATATGTTAAGCTATGTACAGTACAGTTGAGGGTCAGTGTAATTGGAAATTAAGGGAGTTACTTTTTTGTAGTCAAATGACCACAAAACGTACGCGCTCAAAGGAAGGCCTTAGGGCTGGAGCAAGGCGGAAGATATCAGTAGTGGAACCATTTCTACCACACACCCAAACACGCCCGAACAGACAAAATTCCTACTATTCGGATAGACAAAAATTAAAGCGAGAACCTTTAGCTTTTAAAGTTTAAGGTAGATACATAAAGGAGGGATAGGGATTGCAAGTGTATACAGAATTAACAAATAAGTAGGCGAGGGCAATATAATCATGACAATTTTGTAATCGCGAGATGTGCCCATATTGTTTTGGTAGTGCACTGCTGTTAAGACGGCCTCGCGAGTTAAACACCATTTCGTTTTTGTAAATGCGACTATAAGTCCAAGCCTGATCCGTATGTTATTGAAATTGCACATGACAAGTTTATCAACAGTAATGTTGTTTGCAAGTCGAATCTGTTTCCAGTTGACAGGTGGAACCAGATATTTATCAAACGATGCCATTCGACAGGGTCTCATCGGAATGGTCGGTAGAACTCCGCTAGTTCGAATAAACAAACTTAGTGATGAAACTGGTTGTGAGATACTGGCAAAGGCCGAGTTTTGTAATGGGGGAGGATCTGTCAAGGATAGAGCGGCATTATATTTAATCAAAGATGCACAGGAAAAGGGTCTGCTACGACCTGGTGGGACGGTTGTAGAGGGAACCGCGGGAAACACTGGCATCGGCTTAGCTCATATGTGTCTTGCTCTTGGCTATAAATGTGTTATTTACATGCCGAACAATCAATCACAGGAGAAGATAGACATGCTGACAACCCTGGGAGCGATTGTGCGACCCGTTCCAGTTGTTGCTTGGGACAATCCTGAAAATTACAACCACCAAGCAAGTAGATTTGCAGAGAGTTTGGACAACGCTGTTTGGACAAACCAGTTTGATAATACTGCTAACAGAAAAGCCCACATGGAAACCACGGGTCCAGAAATATGGGAAGAAACCCGAGGCAAAGTCAATGCAGTTGTTTTTGGCACAGGAACCGGTGGGACTTTAGCAGGAGTTGGGACTTTTTTAAAAGAAAAGAATCCAAAAGTGCAGGTGTTTTTAGCGGACCCCCAAGGAAGCGTATTATATAATTATATCAAACATGGAAAACTAGAAAGGACTGAAGGAAGTTCCATAACAGAGGGCATTGGACAAGGTCGAGTTACAAAAAACCTGGAAGGAGCCCCAATTGATGATGCTCTTGCCATTAAAGATACCGACGCTGTTGAGATGACATTTAGACTGTTACACGAAGAAGGATTTTTCGTTGGGGCTTCCACTGGGTTAAATGTTGCCGCTGCCGCTCAAGTTGCCAAGATAATGGGACCGGGTCATACAATTGTTACCTGTTTGTGCGACACTGGTCAAAGATACTACGCCAAATTATTCAGTAAATCCGTTCTAGAGGACATGGGTCTTTTAGACTGTATTCCAATACCTTATAGAGGGTATTTACATTAAAAAGTATATAATTAGTCAATAATACTTTTTTATAATGATTTATTCTGTGATTCTGAAGTCAATCCAACTGGAGTGGCATTACTAATTTATTTGATCATGATTTACGTTTCTCCTAAAGGAGCCGGAAATGCAAAAAAAACCCAAACAAAACAGCTTTTAATCTGACAGTTTATGACATCTTCTACCGGAATTATACATAGAAATGTAAAATTATGCAATTGTACAATATTGTTGTTTCTTTTACTATTAAGAACACCACAAGTTCAGAATCGAGCTCGTTTATTTTAAATTTATTTGCCAAATGTCATATTCTGCCTAGAGTGATTTTTAATGTAATTTTTTAACTTGTTTTTAAACGTCGACATTGAAACGTTGTTGTATATTGCCCTGACTCCTGTCCCTCTACCCATCGATAAACAATTTTCCACGGAAGCTCCTGAGACTAATGTAATATCACCCCATTGCCTTAAACTGTATGCATCCGTCGGTGCAGAACAGTAGGACGTTAAATCCCATTTCATTTCATTTGAAATGTACCCATAGTGTTTATATTATCAAGATGAAGAAACCTATCGATTCCCAGTAATAACGTTTAAGATTTATTCAATGTTTATCTTCATGAAAGGAAGAATGCTATTTATAACGGGCGATTTGCTGCTGTGGCGTATGTTTCATTACCTGTCTACCAAACGATATTTGTATGAACTAAAAACTACAATATACCTCTAATATTTTGTAATAATGAAAAATATAGTAAAAGCAAATTACAGGTGTTCTAATGTTTCGTCAAAATCGGATAGAAATTGTGACCTGTAGAGTGTCCACTAACAAATTGTTGACGGACAGGTGCGACAATATAATGTGGGCGTATAGAAACAGATAATTTTGAGAGCTAATTAACACGCACGGATGTCAATAGTCATTCATTTTAGTGATCATAGCGGCCAAACCAATATATTCACTGCTGAATAGTTTGAGCCTTGAACTAACAAACCCCTAATATTCAGATACTACATTGGCCGTTTATGTGATAAGTTTATTTACATAAATATACATATGAATTTAAAATATATACAAATATACAAATGAAGAAAATTGTAATGGATATATATAGACTGTGAAAGATTTACTACATGATAATGTCTACTTTGAAGATTATCCCCAGCTTAACAGACCGATAAGTTAATCCTTGTATCTTGTAGGATTTGCCAACAAAAGATATAATAACTCAATTCCTTTAATGTGGAAATGTAATATTCAGCTACACAGTCTTTACATGAGGGCGTAATTTGATCTAGGTATATATGCTATGTCGAACTTATCCATAAGGTGTCGTTACAGATATCCCCCAATATCACCAATGGCTTAGCATCTTCAATATCTACTATATTGTATGTCATGTTGATTTAAATGTAACTCAATGGAGTCATCAAGCCATACAATTTTACTGGATCATTAACAAGAGACGATTCGCGAAATTATTTTAGTCTATCAGTGTTACATTGTATATGGCGATCTTATCAGAAGATAACTATTTCAACAAATTCAAAAAAAAGTTCATTATACCGTATGTATCGCTTTTATTATTCAAAAAGATTTAAAATAACAAAATCGCGCCAAATAAAAGCACAGAAGTGGTAAAAATACAACCAGAAAAGCTTCTAGCACCACTATCGGGACTTGCTCCTTGCATAACTGAATTACCAACATTGGTGTTCATATTTATATTGTTTTGGGGCTTGGCAAAATCGTTAATGTTGGTGTTGATGACCGGAACAGCTGGTTGGGGGATGATACCCTGCCCTGCCTGTGGTGCGCTAGATTGACACATACTGTCAACGATTTGTTTAAAATTCGGATTGTTCCTACACGGAGCGGCAAGTATATTACACTCAAATTGGTTTCTTAAAGTGTTGAGGTTTTCTGCACAGGATTGACTGTATACCTGTAGTTCACATGGCACTTTCTGAAGTCTTAATCTGTATTCAAAAAAAAAAGAAGATAAATCAACATTCAAAACAAAAACTCTACACTATAGTGAAACGATTTTTATGAGTGTCGCGCTTTTTATAAATGTGTTTTGAGATGAAGCATAATGTGATTCGAAATAAATATGTTGCACGACCCCCTGTGTATAATAAGCTATCGGATGTGAGAGACAAATAGAAAGCAAGGAAGTGCAAGGTATACTTACGCACAAAATCTGTCGGTCATTTCAGAGGGCCTGACAGCACCGGTCTGAAATCGACCTAACATCAATTCTTGTACACCCCTGCCAGTTGTCATCAGGCATTGTTGCGTTGATGCCATGTATTGGGAGAAACACTGGAGGCCGTTCACATATTCTGTAATAAAAACAAACAGCAATGTTAGTGTCAAAGATATGTTTCGTCTTTCTCTCCCTTCCCCTTTCTCAATGGCGAATTTTGTTGACATTTTAGAGTAGAATAAAGGAAAGGGTTTGAATATACATTTTCTGTCCGGTTTTGGTGAATATTCATGATTTTGAGGCGGAAGGAAAAGAGAGTTAAGATGTTGGTTACATTGAAATGTTGGACAGGCAGCTGCATGTTTATTTGTAGGCAGTGGCTATTGTTACAAGTCGTAAAAATAGTCCTCAGGCTATTGTTACGACGATGGTTTCACAGCCCTTCATCGGCGAAGTTAAAAACTGAATAGTCGTAAAAATAGTCCTAACCCTAAACCTAACCCTTCCCATATCTTAATTGCTGCCTTCAGTTCTGAAAACGTTGAAAATACTGCTCCTTTCTCAAAGCTGGTGTTGGGGAGATTGGCAGCCATTTTGGAATTCGTTCTAAACTTGGCCCAGACTCGTCGTAACAATAGCCACTACTTATTTGTATGCTACTTCATGTTTGTGTATTTCAAAAAATGAACTGAAATGAAATGCGGCGGAAGGATAAAAGAGTTAAGATGTTGGTTACGTTGAAATGTTGGACAGACAGCTGCATGTTTATTTGTATGCTACTTCATGTTTGTGTATCTAAAAATAATGAACTGAAATGAAATGGGGTTTAACGCCCTACTGCTCTGCTCCGACTGGGCTAATGGAGACATGCATACGCCATACAGTGTGATGTGAGGGAAATTTTCCCCGGACAGTGGAAAAACAGAACATATATCAAATAGGAGAATTAAATTAAATGAAATGAAATGAAGTTTAACGTCCTGGTGTTCTGCTCCAAACTGGGCTAATGAAGAGGGGCATATGCCATACATTTTGCTCGGACAGCGGCACTACGGTCTACTCTTATATCAAATTCCAACTGCCAAGGGATGTTTACATGCACACCATTGTGTACACGTGACCCGAGTTTTTTTGTCCCATCCGAGCGACTATACATTGTCCCTTGTCAGGCCGTCTGCCCTGTGTATCCCAAGATTTCCATGGTGAACCTCATACATGCTTTTGAGTTATAAGTTAGACCCGGTCAGAAAGACGAGATCTAACATTAAAATCAATGGGGAAATTAATGGCGACGTTAGAAGATCTATGGTGAAAACTCAACACAATGTCTACCCTTTACTAATTTCTCGCGTTCTATTCCTAATCGAGTTACGAATCATCCCTGTCCCACTGTTACATCGATTCTTTTATCGGAAGCATAAAAATGTCCAGAAAAAAAACCTGAAGGTCAGTAAATTGAATCTTGACAAAAAAAATCCAGACAACATAATGTGCGTACTTCGCTACGGACAAGATATTCTGTAACTATCTTTCATCGTTACATTAAGATATTTATAAGTCAAGCTTACCTTGTTGTCGCTGACAAAGAACAGCAGTAGCTAGCTTCATTGATGTAAAATCTATACCCATTTCATACATTCTGTTCTCAAAGGCAGGACATTTCGCTTTTTCCGTGTCCAAACAGGTAAACAGTGTATTATGGTTACTGAAGAGATAAAATAATACATTTTAAAGAAATAAAATTCGGATTCCACTATTGAATTTCTATGTCCATATTATGATTACTCATAAACAGAATATTAAGACTCTTACTTTTTCTTTTAACAAGATGCTTATCTGATAGTCACGTCGGACAGTTTCTATATATGAAACTGTGTTAGTAGCGAAGCCCCAGTGTAGTCTTTAAAAGAATAAAATATTTCAAGAATTAAGTGGTCCTACTTTAACTGTGACAGAATAAAATCGCCAGCACTAACCTGCAAAATCGTTGTATTTCAGCTGTTGTATTACCTAGAATAGCGAATTTATCAGCAACCATGGATGAATTCATAGCTCTGTTAGGGTCAATTTGGGCTGAAGCAAAACATTGCATGGCTCTCTGGCTAGTCTCAATCTCACAGGCTGCAAATAAAAGAGGATTTAAAGTTTGGGAAAAGGGTTCGGAGTGCGATTGTTTTTTAAGTATAATCATTGGTTTCATATAATACAAATATATGGGCGACCTGTCAAACCCCAGTAAACATGTTATTGCTACATATACACATACCCTATTCAACTAAGACTAGAAAAAGGATTAGCGAGGATATAATAACTAATACACTTGCCCTGGTGAGTCAAATATAGTAAATCAGTACAATCGCAGAAATCGGGATCGCACCTTGGATAAAATCGCAACTGGCAATATGATGGAGCCGCAACTAAGGCACCCTGGCCTCAGATAGCTAACCAGAAATGAAATGAAATGGGGTTTAACGTCCTACTGTTCTGCTCCGACTGGGATAATGAAGACGGGCATACGCCTACTCTTATATCGAATTCCAACTGCCAAGGGATCTTTTACATGCACGCCAATGTATACACGGGACCTCGGTATTTCGTCCCATTGGAACGACTAGACAACTGTCCTTGTCAGGCCCTAATTCCTGCACCACTGAAAAGGAAAACCCACGTCGGAAAATCCCAATGAACTTTCTCGGCCACTACAGGGATCGAACACGCGATCTCTAGTCTTACCCACCGTGGCTCCAGCAAACCAGAAACCGAATGGCTCGCTTTTTACACTCCCTGATCTCCACAGGGTGCATGCAAGTGTCTGCATTACAGATTTTTATACTATAACTTCATTTTATTGCCAAGAAAACAACAGAGCGTATCGAGGGTACATTTACTTACGTTGGATACAGAGTTGATCCATGATGGTGAGAAGTCGTTTGGCGCTACCATCAATCATTTCCCGTTCCTGTTGAGCACACGATGTTTGGTTTGTAAAAAAATTCATGAGCTGAAGAACGCAGGGAATAATTAAATCTAGTCTGGCATGCCTGCAATAATAAATCATTACAATATTATGGAAATGGTATGCATTTCGTATATCGTGAACACTATTTATGCAAATCCAATTTGTCTTTAATTTTGAAAAAGAAGAGGGCAGTTAGTTATATCAAGTACCTTTGGTCTATACTGATACAGGTAGTAATACACTGTAAATCGAAAAATAAATAATACTGACAACCACCCAAGCCACTGACCCTTTCTGGTTTTTAAAGTTAACAAGCGGGTGCCATGCAAGATACGCCCACATTTGCGAGAGATAGACAGAGAACAAGCTATAAAAAAAACCTGAACCGAGATCATTGGGATATAAGCAAATGTGCCACGTTTCATCAAAAGCGGCTCAATATTGTGACCTTTAGAGAGTCCACAACCTTGATATTACATACTTTAACACTATTTGCGTACAGGAAGCGGCCATTTTGTCTGGCAGTTTCGGTTCGATTTTTACGAAATTCGAACAAAACCATTATTATGGTGTACTGTAACGTATTTTTAAATAGTTAAAAACGCCATTTTTCGTACAATCAGGGGGTATAATCCTGGAAGTTACGGTCCGATATGCGCGAATATCGACAGAAACCGAGCTCTTTGGGATATAAACAAACATTTCAAGTTTCATTAAAATCGGATAAAAATTGTAAGCTCTAGAGTGTCCACAAACTAAAAACGTGATTTTTCGTACAATCAGGGGCCATAATCCATGAAGTTACGGTCCGATACCTGGCAATATCGAAGTGAACCGAGATCTTTTGGAAAAAGAAAAAAAAACTGATATTACAAGTTTCGTTAAAATCTAATAAAAATTGTGACCTGTAGAGTTTCCACAGACATGCTAGGATGGACGTCCGGGCGGACAGGGGCGTTGACAATATATGTCCACATGAAAATATGGGCATATGAAAAGTCATTCTAATATAACCGTGCCATGAGCCCACTGATACGTTGATAATATAAACACCGTCTACATAAAATTGTCTTCGTAATAAAGACAGACTTTCCCTACAGAACAACTGATACCACTTCTGTGTTTAGAAGTTCACACGTTTGATAATACTCACTGGCAAGTAAGATCTCTTAATGCTTCAGCGGTGGTACCAGCTGGCAACTGACCATTCTGACCCTGGCTAATTATGAAGAGCACACCTTCAAAGCTGACATTAAATGATTCAAAACATCTTGGACCCAAATTTGTATCGAACTGGGACATACAAACTTGTTCCTGTTGTTGACCGGTCCCTGCCGGTAGTTGTTGACCGGTCCCTGTTTGCAACTGGGCTACAGTAATTCCTATTACGGCAATCGCCACCACTGCTGTAAGACGAAAGGTATAATGTTTTACAAAAATATTATAACAAACCAAATCGTTCACGTACATTTCCGAAGTCAAGTATGTGTATAAATGATTGCCGTTTGCCTGTTGTTTGTCTGTCTGAGACTGCCCCGGCTGAAATTTGGAGTACATAAGCGCAGTTCGAGCCGGGGACTGCGCACGTATGTTAATCTTCGTTATCCCTGTTGAAGCAAAATCCCTGATGGAAAAAATTTACTAATATTATTATCACATTAGTTGTTTTTTTTAAATATCTAAATATATACTTGGTACAGATAATTCTCGTAGGAGATTTACGCGATTCATTATCAATTAAATTCAAATTTATTCAAATTCATCTAGGAGCATTGATTACCAAAGTCATAAACGTCAAAATGTACCCAGGAAAAAGGATGTGTATATTTCCCGGGGTTTATTTTAACACGATTAGTTATTAATTAATAACTAATTACACATTTTACGTGACGTTGATGACACTTATTGGCTATAGAAGTAATCACTTCGTTTCACCAAGTTTTAATATCCGATTGCCTCGGGTCACAGGTCAGTAAATACAAGTGAAATCGGTTTTTTTTATACTCACCTTGATATATTGCATATAAAAAAATTATCAAATATGTTAGTCAAGTACTCAATATTATAACGATTGTATTGATTATAAATCTCATTAATTCATGGGATACAACGTAGTACTAAAGTCAGATGTGTTAGGAAGGGAGAGAAGTTGGGTTTAACGTCCCCTCGACACAAACTAGGTCAATTCAGTTCAATTTTATTTCAATAAAATAAGAGGATCCAGAAAAACCCCACGAGGTTGGACAGGTAACCCTTATCAAACAAAGGGGGTGGAAACAACACCACTTGACTCAATGCGAGAGCTTATGATCTAACGAGCGCCCGTTAACTCCCCATCCCCGATATGGTGGTCATCCTTCCTAACGTACATTACGACCACTTGAAGTTTACATTAGCTTCTATCGATTTCACGTCATCATGTTTTTGATATTTCTTTGGTTTGGAATGTATTTGACTTATATCCACGTGATGACATTATGTAACACATTGCTCTTTCATTACTTATTTTTCTATAATTTAAAGATAATTTATTTCCTCAACAGTCGCCATCCTAAATATATAACCATCACTAGACAAATATAACAGCCTTTAAAAAAAATAAAAAAATAATAATTTTAAAAACTTAAAGACGGATTATGTGAGAGCTAAATCTATACATTGCAGGTCTTTTTCTAGCTTTAAATGCTATATAAATCATTATTTAGACATTTATTCACAAAACAAGTTAGACCATCGGATGGCTTAAATATTAAAGAGATTAGAACCCTCTTGCCATAATCGAGATTTTGTTTATTATCACAGCAATGGTACTTGAAATCGATACTGTATTGTCAAAACACTCATAACTTCGCTTAGAATAAAGTGATTTGACTGAAATTTTAATAATATTATTATTTCTCAGTGTCTAGCTCTTTGTTAAAATCTTACATAATGCATCACTGAGGTTCATCTATCAATCCAAACCCGAGATACGTATTATTATAACTAAAAGACAACACTCGAAGTTTAATCTTCAATTGCGTTCAAAAACAAAAGTAGTCCAGACTCGTCACTTGAATTTAAATTTATGTTTAACTTAACGGTAAATTGGGGAGATAACTGGCAGTTAAACATACATTATGCAAGAGCTAAATCTGTCTATTGCAAGTCTTTCTTTAGGCCTGAAATGTTATCTAAATTATTAATTAGACATTAATTAACCTATCCAGATCATAATCAACTCTCGATGGCATCCCTAGCCTGCGATCTTTAGTGAACTTTCCTTCACGATTTAACGATAAAGTGGATAATCGAGATTATGCTGTTTATCATACCGACTTCAGTAATGATGATCGAGGCTAGGCGGAAATTTCAATCGCTTAATTCTCGGTTCATAGTGGATCAATTTGAATGAAATTTTCAGCAAATTGCCTTTACATTACGTAGTTTTTAACTAATATAGTGAAAGCTGCCAACTCGTTATCTAATCTCCCATAATGTATCTTTAAATGTGTACTTATGAAAAACCATTTTATAAACATTAAATCCCCTTTACTGTCAAAAGCAATTTCAGTAGAAGTTTGAGGTACTCTCCTACAAGGCTCACGCTTACATTGTCATTATCATCACTGCTTTATTATTTGGAGTAAACCAAATAAATTACACAGACACAAAAACAAAATGTATGGAAGGATATTAGATTAAAGGAGCTAAATCGCTAATATTTGAGACCTGAAAATTAACACAAATGGGTCGCAACGCATATAATAATGTAATATGAATGTATATAAACTGATTTACATTCAATCGTTTCTGTTTTTATTATAATTTCTATTAAGTTATGTTCGGCGAAATACGCCAGAAGTCTCAATCGAATGGCAATCTCTAGCGTCTGGTTATTCCAGTCTACATCGATAGTACTTTTTGAGCATGCTCTCTAGATAAGAATATGAGTCACCGTTTGACATAACTTGTGGAATATGTCTAGCCTTGTTCTTCGAGTCCCTTGTTACAAATGGCGTTGAAACGCGTTATGGTACACGATTCGCGTACCAATGGTAAAATGTTTATTTTGTCTTAAATATTGGATACCAGAAGGCCATCTTTTCCAGGTAAGATCACAACATCAATGTTGATTTAAATTGACAAATAATTCGCGTTTTCAATGACGAAGATTTCGGATGATATTGATTTATATACTTAGCTACTTTAAATTGATTTGACTAACTAGAATGATTTGTTTTAATTTTTATATCAAAATAAGATATAAAAGATACTAACCTATTAACATCCCCTTCATTGTTGGTGTATTTATTGTCACCAAATTAATGTATCCGTTGCAGCGAGAACTCTCTTTTCCGTAAATTTTAGAATAATGAATAGGATATTATTTGGCCCGGGCTTTATTTATCACCTGTATACGTTTAACACAAGTATGATGACGTTGTCAACATAAAGTAGTCACATGATCAGTATATTTGACCGAGTCGTGAGTAAATCTTGATGGCATTCGATTAGTTATGATTGATTGATGATATAAAAGTTGCTAAGGAGGGGCAGCAACCGGGAAGGACGCCTCGGGTACAAAGGATAAGATCTGTATATACATAGTAAGTTATATAATTCAATTAAAAACGCCGATAAATTCATTAATTTTGATTAATCGTTTGATGTTAAACTCTGGAGTAAACGTTCTCATATTTTGGTGGATTTGATGTCTTGAATTATATAAGTATATTTAGATCCCATATCAATTAGCTTTGATTGATCGAGTTGTAAGAAAAAAAGTGAAACATTCTCTAAAATAATACAGTGTGTCCGCGATCCGATCTTTTACGGTGCAAATTGTTCAAGATAGAAATAGGGGGATCACGTGGCTAAGTGGGTAATCCCTGCATTGGCCGAGAAAGTTCATCTCGATTTTCCGGCGTGGTTTCCCCTTGTCAGTGATGCAGAACGGAGGGCCTGACAAGGACAGCTGCCTAGTCGTTCGGATGGGACGAAAAACCGAGGTCCCGTGTACACATTGGCGTGCACGTAAAAGATCCCTTGGCAGTTGGAATTCGATATAAGAGTAGGGCGTAGCGCCGCTGCCCGGGCAAAATTTCCCTCATAGCACACTGTATGGCGTATGCCCGTCTTCAATTAGCCCAGGTTAGGTGCAGAAGAGTAGGACGTTAAACCCCATTTCATTTCAAGATAGAAATAGTTTATGCAGTGAATATTTCAATGATGCCCCTTTCGCCGATCATATTGGGAGTCAAGATTTCTATGATCAACGCTTTGGACCACGTTCTCAAATTAGTCGGTGTTTACACACACGCTGTCCCAATCTGTTTCTGTAGAGTTAATGTGAAAGCCTTCTTCTAACTATGTGCCAGAAGACGGACCTTTATAAGTTCCAATGCATTCTACGTCTGACATCACCTCAGACGGCGTCGATCAGTAACGTAAAGTGGTCCGGGCAGAATACTATTTTATGTACCCATTTACACTAAATAGGAAATATTTTAAATCCATATATACCTCAAACATCTTTATTTATTTTTCTAATACTTAAAAAAATGTTTAGAATTTAATTTGCAGAAGGAAAAAAGTTAATATTGTAAGCTAATTCACTCGCACCGATTTTATCCCTTTCTCAGTAATCAGTGCCGGATTAACCTTGTGGGGGCCCGGGTCATACCAACTGTGCGGGGGTCCCATTGTTGTTTGTTCAAATTGTTCGTACTGACCGCGGATCATACTAGTATGTACTCCGCCCCCTTGAGTAGGATTAATTTCAGTGCATCTGAGACAATTAAGGCACCGATTTCATTGACGTTTAGAATTAGTATACTATTCAAAAAAGGTAGGGGATATTTGATTTTGGGGGCATAATACTAAAATATGCAAATGACTACGAAAAAAAGTCACTATAGAACCTAACAGAAGAAACATTTCCAGTTACATGTGACGCCCAAACGCACCAATAGCTACCGCATGGAATGCAGGTGATGCTTGGGATCATCATGGGGGTCCAACCCAAGATTTGCACGACTCTGACTTTGAATGTTACAGTCATTGTGGCATTGAATTCCAGGGTGGAAACATCAGTTTAATTGTTTTAGTGACCAGAAAACAAATTTTGATATGCGTCGGCTTACCCAAAATGAAAGGTTACGTGCTCTTGGCATGCTACAGATCGGCACAACACAGGCGGTTGTGGCGCGGACGATGAATGTTTCTCAGTCTGTCATAAGCAGGCTATGGTCCAGATACCGTGATACACAATCTGTACAGGACAGACCACGCTCAGGTCGACCAAGGGCGACAACTCAAGCCCAGGATCGATTTATCCGTACCTTGGCCTTGAGAAATCGTGTCATCACAGCAAATCAGATCAGCGCTCGTCTTCAAACAGACACTGGTGTGAGAGTGAGTGGCCAGACGATTCGGAATCGACTGCATAGGGGTCACCTTCGCGCCCGACGTCCTCGCGTGATCCCTTGTTTGAGAGATCATCACATTCAGGTAAGACGTCGTTGGTGTAGGGATCGTCAACACTGGGATAATCGACGCTGGAGCAATGTGATGTTTTCAGATGAGTCAAGGTTCACTGTTGATTTTTTGGACAGACGTAGGAGGGTGTGGCGTCGTCGAAACGAGCGCTTCCAAGACGTTAACGTCATCAGACATGATCGATTTGTTGGTGGTTCTGTTATGGTGTGGGAGGCATCACTGTTGCTGGAAGAACGGCTTTACATGTTGTT